CTTGCGGGCCTCCCCAAAAGTATACCCACTTGCCAGCGGCCACAGCCAAGACAGGAAGGCCGCCTCCAATATCGCCGGGAGAAGTGTGCTCGGGCGCCAGGGAGACGAGCTCGCAGGACTTGATTTCGCCGTCGAGGACCTCCTGGCGAATGACGTTACGGGTGGGCAGGTCGAACCACCTAAGGGTGTTGTCGGACGCAGTGACGATCGTGTTAGGATCCTTGGTCCAAGCAATGAACTTGATGGAGCCAGTGTGGGTGCCTTCGCCAATCTCAAAGCCAGCCGAGGCAGGCACGGTGATAGGCGTACCGGCTGGAGAGTTGGGATCTGGTGCGAAATCGCTGAGGTCGAAGACGCGAAGCCTCTTCTCCATGCCTCCTGTCGCGATGAGCTCAGAGTTGTCAGGCGGGTAAGCGACGGCGCGGACAATGTGGTTGTGCTGAAGGGTGTAGAGGACCTCTCCGCTGTGAGTGTCCCAGACCTTGCTGCTGGTCATTAGTCGCGATTCGGAGTATGAGTGATGTGTGATAGGACTTACGCGGTGAAGTCGGCAGAGGCGGTTGCGGCGTTGGAGGCATCAGGACTCAATCTGGCCTGCCAGACGGCACCCTTATGGCCAATGAAGGTTCCGATCCTGTGTGAGCACTCGTCAGCCACGCGCGGTCAACTGTTCTGGGAGGAAGCTACCAATCGCCAGTAACGCCATCGCGCAACATTGGGTTTCCATCTGCGACAGGGTTAGCAAACCCCTGTTGGCAGCGCGAGATCATCTATATCCAGCTCACCCTTGCAAGCCGAGATCATGTAGTATTGCTCTCCCTTCTCAAGGCCAGAGAAGCAGACGTGGGGAACAGGTCGAGAGTGACCATGGCAGGTCAGAGGAACATATTGACGCGAATTCTCGGTAGCGGGAGGGGCAGCGGCGGCCATATCGTCGTTGACGTGAGAGGTTCGAGGTACTAGGTGCTTGTTTGCTTTCGTGGTAGTCGCAATCGCAATGTTTGCGCTGTGGAGGGGTATCGAGTTGTCGACAAATCGGATGCTTTGTTGTTTTTGACGATTGGCAGTTGAAGAAGACAGGGAAAAAGAAAAACAAAAGTCAAGGAGAGTCGGTAAGGTACAGCCGTTACGTCGTTAATATCGTGAGGAGTGAGTACGATGGATCGCGTGAGTCCTCGAAGGGCAAGCAGCGCAGCAATAGCAACAGTAGCAATAGCTCCAGGAATGAGAGCGAAAGCACATCAAGGGGAAGAAAAAAGGAGGATGGGGAAAGCTGCAGGAGGATGCGAGAAGCAATGGGAGAGCAGCGCGGATGGAATAATAGTGGGGGGCTCCCCGAGTCGGAGCAAGGCCGATTTGCGCCTGGATTCTGTCGGGTGCGATTGTTTGATGCGAGAGGCTGCAAGAGCAGGTGGAAAACGTGAGAGTGCCTGATGGAAGGTTCCATTAAAGGAGGCACAAAGGTACACCTTGTCCCTTGTTCCTTTGGAACTTTGGAAGGAGTCAAGGAGATTCGATGGACCCCTGAAACCAGGCCGGTCCTGCCAAGAGCAGCCAGAACTTCAGGGTGACCCCGCGCTGCTTCGTGCAGGTCGCGGATTCTATCTACCTAATGGGAGGGGGCTGCTGAGGTAAGCGCCCATGACTTGAGGCTTGGAAGGCTTGCCGGCCCCGCAGATGTGGCTTGTACCCCTCAAGCCGAGCGTTAGGCACTGTGGCGCATTGGAGCGTTCCCGCTTCCGTCGTCATCGTCTAGCTACCTACACTACTTGACGGTACCCTACCTCCATAACTTAAGGCAAGGAAGGTATCGCCCTCCACCACGAATCAAAACAACACCGGACATTTCCACGGAGGCTTCTACCAAGGTACGAGCGAGCTTTCCACACAACCTGACTCTTTTTGATACCTACGTTTCCCGACCTCCATCACAGATTGGCAGCAATGACGACAGACTTCAAGCTATCCGCCCAGGTGTCTGGCCACGACTCAGACGTAAGTAAACGAACCTTCAACGCTCTATTCGTCAGCTAATGTGTACGCAATCCACAGGTCAAGGCAGTCAGCTTTCCTTCTCCTCAAACACTACTCACTGCCTCTCGAGATGGCAGTGTACGAGTCTGGCGTCAAACGTCTGGGCCCCCTCCGACTTTCGACCCTTCAATCTCAAGTCAAACGTCCGAATTCGTCAACGCTGTCACATACCTTCAACCCTCTGAAGCATACCCAGATGGACTGATTGCCTCCGGTGGCAAGGATACCATCGTCGAAGTCAAACAACCCCAAGCTGCTCCGAGTGACAACGCCGAAAGACTTTTGATTGGTCACTCCCAAAACGTGTGCACTCTGGATGTGTCGCCCAAGGGATCCTACCTTGTATCAGGCGGGTGGGATGCTCAGGCCATCGTCTGGGATATCAACACCTGGGAGCCTAAGATTCGTCTCAGTGGCCATGATAAGAGTGTGTGGGCTGTCCTTGCTCTCGACGAGGACACGGTAGTCACGGGATGCGCCGATACGAGCATCCGCATTTACAAGCTTCCCTCCGCAATTGCCGGGGACGCCGAACCACAGTCAACTATTCACACACCTGAGGTTATTCGTGCTCTCGCAAAGGTTCCCAAGGGCCATTCGAGTGGAGCTGATATTGCAAGTGCCAGCAACGATGGCATCATCAGGCTGTGGAAGTTGAATGGGCAGCAAGTTGGGGAGCTAATCGGCCACGAGAACTTCATCTACGCTTTGACAAGTCTTCCCTCGGGTGAGTTAGTCAGCTCCGGAGAGGATCGCACTGTACGGATATGGAAGGGGAACGAGTGCGTTCAGACCATCACACACCCCGCCATCTCAGTCTGGGCTGTTGCTGCGAACCAGGAGTCTGGCGACATCATTACAGGAGCCAGCGATGGTGTTGCGCGTGTCTTTACTCGCAATGCTGAGCGGGCAGCCAGTGCCGATGCCATCTCGGCGTTCGAGGAGTCGGTGAAGGCTTCAGCAATTCCTCAGCAACAATTACCAGATATCAACAAGGAGAAGCTACCTGGTCCCGAGTTCCTTCAGTCTAGGTCGGGTACCAAGGACGGCCAGGTGCAGATGATCAACGAGGGCAATGGCCTGATCACTGCCCACCAATGGTCCCAAGGTGAGTTTGATCTTGAGGCACCCTTTCCCGATACATGGCTAACGACGTACAGGTCAACAACAATGGATCAACATTGGCACCGTGGTTGACTCCGCTGGAAGTAGCGGGAGGAAGACAGAGCACAATGGCAAGTCTTATGACTACGTTTTTGATGTTGATATTGAGGACGGAAAGCCACCCTTGAAGCTGCCTTACAACCTGTCCCAAAATCCTTACGACGCAGCGACAAAGTTCCTCAATGACAACGAGCTACCCCTGAGTTACCTGGACAACGTGGCCGGCTTCATCACTCAGAACACCAAAAGTGCTACTCTAGGCCAGTCAGCACCCTCGGGTGGCGCTGATCCTTACGGCACGGAGTCGAGATATCGCCCTGGCGAGTCCGAAACTTCAGCGCCTAATCTGCTGCCGCACACCGAGTACCTCTTCATCACGGCCGGCAAATATGATGCCATGATTAACAAAATTCTCACCATCAACGCGAACATGATTTCGTCCGGTCGCAAGGACGCAGCCCTGAATCCCAACGAGCAAAGCATACTTAAGGCTGTCAAGGAGGCCATTGAATCTTCGACGGCCGTTAGCCAACAAGGCATCGATCTTGCGGTCAAGATCGTGACACACTGGCCTTATGCCGAGCGCCTCGCTGGCTTGGATCTGTTAAGATGTGTTGCTCCGGCACCTCTTGCTGCTGACCTTGCACTTCCGGGTGCTTCTTTCCTCCAGATTGTTGCGACGAGCGCTTTGGAGGCGACAGACGGTGCCGCGCCCAATGAGAATTCGGCTATGATGGCACTCCGTGCATTTGCCAACATATTCAGCTCCCCTAAGGGTCGAGCGCTAGCCGCGAAGGAGGCTCCTCTTGCAGCAAGCGTTGTCGAGCGTGTGTTGGGCATTTCTGGTGGTGCTGCGATTGGTCCTTCTAATCGCAATGTCCTAGTTGCTGCGACTACTACTTTAATTAACTACGCCGTGCTCGCCTTCAAGGAGAAGTCCAGGCAAGAGTCGAAACGTCTCATCCAGGCCCTCGGAAAGATACTATCTACGCAATCTGACTCGGAGGTTATCTACCGAGCGCTTGTCGCGTTGGGAACGTTTGCTTCTACCAACAAGGCCGAGGTGAAGAGTCTGGGTGGCGAGGGTTGGATCAAGGGGGCTATCGACCGGGTTTCAGAGCCGCGGGTGAAGCATGTGGGACAAGAAGCCCTCCAACAGCTGTGAACGGCTCAGGGTGTGATGGGATTTATGTGGGTTAATGAGACTTGCGCCATGGAGGACCCAGAAACATAACTTGGGTGACGGCCGTGTGATGGTCATAAGAGTGCGCTGCGCGCCTGCTGGCGCTCCCGCGAAACGGGAGGAAGGGGCGAGACGTTGGGAGGGTTGCGGGCATAAATGGTTAGTTCGAATAGAGAGTCAAATAGCTGGCCATCTTGGACCGCCGTCCATAGAGTAATGGATCCCCCGATAGACTATATGTCATATTGTTCTCCAGTGTGGCCAAACTGGTGTCTGATACAGTTAAGCGTTCGATGTTATGACTACCTTGTTACTAAACCCAGCGTAAGGTAGCCGTATGTCCATTATCATCGGACAGGGCTGCGAAGGGGGTCCAACGACCACGTGCTGGTCAACATTTCAACATTCCTACGCCAAATCAACGAGGACTAGTCTGTTAATGTTTTTGAACATTTCTGAAATTGTGATCGCGGTGAGCGAGCATCGTTTGTGGGGTTACTTCAAAAAGGAATAAGTACTTCGTATAGAAGAGGGAGAAAACCACATCCGGTCTACAGCCATTTGGAGCCATTACACCATTTCCAAAAAAAGAAAAAAAAGAAAAAAAGAACGCCGTCCTTTAATGCCTCCCAAGAATGTACAAATTTTCTCAAGGTATGATCCATCCATTCCGTCCATAAAGCTCCCCAAATAACTCATCGTTGAATTTAGGCCGTGTAGCTGAATCACAGCACGACCCAGAGCGCACCGAGCAGAAACGGGAGCAACCCAGCGACAGAGAAGCTCGTTGCTGTCGTCATCCTTGCGGCGGCGGATGTTCCTTGCACATACCCCGCGCCAGACTCTTTCGTCGTGATAGTGTAGACGTCGCCGAAGCCAATATCAGTGGAGTTGAAGCAGTTCGTCTCGTTGACCTTTCCGATTTTCGGGTCGCCTGGCTCAGCGAATTCAATATCGACGCACTATTGTTGCGGTGTTAGTACCTTTCTGCCTCTCTCTCTCTCTCTCTCTCCCCTCCCTCTCTGGCTGAGGTAGGGGGGCAGGGAAGACTTACCGAGAACAGAGCGGCGCCGTGCACAGCAAGCTCGACAATTTGGATCGTGGCGTGATCGCCGGCCTTGACGGTGGTGTTCGCCGGGAGAGGCACTTGTGGGAGGCAGACGGTGCCCGGGTAAGGGTTCTTGCTGGGGCCGAGGATTTGGAAGACGGGGACCATGGGGAAGGACATGTTGAGGGGACCGCCGTCGGGCCCGTCGCTGCCGAAGCCCATGTTGGCATACATCATTGCCTGGGCATGGCCTTGGAACCAGCCTGGTTGGAAGGCGAGGGCACCGCCCGTCGTGGGCCAGTAGGTGCGGTTTTGGGTGACGTGCATGCCGCCGCCTTTGGGGATTGATTAGAGAGGCCGAGTCTTTGGCTTATAGAGTGGATGAGGGTTGAAGGATGGCCGGGGATAGAGCGATGGCGATAGCGACGGAAAGTGATTGATGGCAGAGGAGTGAGGACTTACATGGGTAATTCCATTGCATGCCGTAGGGGAAGGTGTCATTGGTAATGAGGTTATTGCCGCGCCAGCCCGGGTAGGAGATGACGATGTGGGCTGATGCTGTCGCTGCGAGGACGAGTGCTGATAATGTTGAGAAGAGCATCTTGGCGGTTGTTTGTGTAAGGTGGCCGTCAAAAGTCGACGATTGTTATATTCCAACGGCGAACCCTTCGTTTTCTTCACTTGGCATCCGTTTCCTGCAAATTTACACTTTCTTGTTTCACAGCCTTTTTGTCTGGTTGTCTGTCTGAGTGCCTGGCTTTTAAGCCCGCCTGGAGATTATCGAGGTGGTTGGTTGGTCGGATGGTTCGTGTGAGTCTGCGGCAAACCTCGCTTGAGACAACAAAAGATTCTCGAAACCAAGCCCAAGCAGAGGGGAGTCCACAGCTTTGTTCAGGAACAAGGTTTCAGCGAGATCAAAGAATATTGTTCTTATGGCACTAGGTGAGTCGATGAGGAGGGAAAAGAAGGGAGAGGGCGCAAATGGGAGGCGGCAGACCAAGTGATATTTGGGCGGGGATGGGAGCCCGCGTGGTAAGGTACCTGGAAGTCAGGAAGATGGCCCGGCCGACCGATCCAGCCGCCGGGCCATGAAGGCCCATCTCTGCCGTGCCATTGGATTCGCACCTTGCAGCCGTCCAATCGAGTCTGGTCGACCTGGCGTACGCGTGGAGGTGTGAATGCGAATGGGTGCACTCAATCACACCGGGAAAGGGATGGGAGGACTGGCAGACAGACTGTAGTAGCCACTAGCCAGTACCTGTATCCTTCACGCCTTCATCTGCAAGACGATGGGCAGTGGCTCCCGTTCCCCTGCCGGGTTAGCGACGCAGCCAATGGCAGACAGAAGCGCCGAGGCAAGTGAGAGTCGCTGCGGGAGTAGCAGGGGATTATTTAATCGAAGGTGGTTGTTTGGGGGGGGCACGAGGCCAATGAGACGCCGTATCACCTCGGTGGCAGAGGGGATCTCGACGATGAGTGGTGAGAGGGGGAGGCGATGAGCAGGGATGCGGCGAGGTGTAAGCGCCGGCTTTACACACCGTTGGCTGCAGGATGCAACCTGGCACCGCTGCATCAGCAAATCCCCGTCCTCAGCTTGTGGTTGTTTGTTGGGCCCTCTTCATGCTCATATTTCGTAGAGGCACAGAGCAGCGAGCTAGTAATCCAACGGTATACCCCGTACTATCTGGTTGACTGGCATTCGACAGGACTGACTACGGAGTAGGTATTGATGATTGTTGGTATTGAGTTCGTGCAATACCCCTCGGTGATGATTCGATCTCATCGCGCAACATCCGAGTTAAGATGACTGTGATGGCATGGACGCTTCGGCTCTGTCAACCCCCTCTCTCTTGTGCTCTATGCCATATGGTCGGTAAAAGAGTGAAGGTTTAGATACAGAGTATTCCCGTCGTAGATGACCGCCTGACCGCCGTCGATGCAAGCATAAGGGCGGTAAGCTGACGGGGTGGGTTGCATCTATTCTAAGATGTCCAGCCGCTCGTGAGGTGATGCAGATCAAGAAAGTCAGCCTCAAAGAAAACATTGACCCCAGCCGGTTTGGGGGGTGACTGTAGGAGTAGACCGTCGGACGGAGGATCTTGAATTGATTTGTTTGGGAGTATGAATTTTGGGTCCTTGGGTAGGTACCTATTTCAACTCCTTCTAGCCAAAATTTGGAGGGAAAGATGGACGTTTACATATGGACACATCATCGTTGCTTCTATTCTTGGCCTTGCCCTTCCACCTACTATTCTGCCGTGAAGGAGCAACGCTAGATACTGTCAGATTTTAGCTGGAGGCGTGCAACTCTCCGCCTTCCACGTTCCATGTCCTTTCCACCTCTACCTTAGGTGCTTAGCTGCTTACCTTAGATACTTTCCCACAGCCTGAGGTGAGTTGTGCACCTTCCTATTCTCTTGCCTTCCTGGCCTTACGTAATGCGACAGGGAGCTGCGTGGTCTTCACCGCCTGCCAATTGACATTCGTGGACCCCGCCCTATCAGCAGGCGGTGGCCAAATTCTGCCGGACTAAAAGTTCCTCCTACCAATACAGCCTCTCGCTTTCAAGGCAATGCTATTAACCCCGCGCCATCGAACACGCCCATCATGGCCACAGCCGAGCAAACCGAGGCCGAGAAACCTAAGCATCATGAATGGATTCACGTTAAATCCAAGTCCCGGCTCCGGCGAAGCGCCCCCAAGCCACCCGTCAAGGGCCCCGGCGTAACCTCGAAGCCCGCTGAACCCCGCAGCTACAAGTCCATCATCGATATTACGGCCGAGTACCAGTCCTTCAAGTCCAAGTGGCGCGAGACAGCATGTTGCCTCAGTCTGAAGAAGCTGGTGAGGGACAATTGCGAAAGCCATCGGAGAGTTCGCAGGGCACTGTGTCTTGGTGTGGGCACGTTTGATCCTGAGGATGGAGGCTGTGACGCAAAGAGGAGGAGTTATATCCAGCTTGACGCCTTTTTGACCGTCGTCGAGGTTTTGTGTATGCCTACGCTTAGCTGTCGCAGTCATATATACCAAACTGCACTGCAAGCTCTCAGCTAACCGAATCCCCAGCCGAAATGTACAAAGAGTCGATACCGTGCTCGTTCCAGGAACCTCGCTTCACCCCCAATGACACAGCATTTCTTACGGGGCTCGGTTATGCGGTTGTCGAGTCCCCCGCCGCCTTTGAGGCCATGGATGAAGAGACACTTGTGTTCGCGGTACACATGTATAGACCAATATATGAGGCGACGCTTGAGAGGGCAGTGCCTGCCATGTTTGTCGGGACAGGATGGGACGTTTGGGATGAGTGCGTAGAGGTCCTACTCCATGGCCACTCAATGTTTATTGACATTTTATTAGGTTCGCCACGATGAAGGATGGTGAATTCAAGTGTATGAGTAATATGCATGCCTCGCATAAGCACTTCCGCTTCCCACAGGATGGTACATATACCACATTCTCAAGCACGTGTGTGTACTGGCGGCCAAAATCCGAGACCGTGGTTCAACAAGAGACTTCGATCGGCGAGAAAGATAAACCGTCACCTCAAGAAGGTGTCACAGATGTCGCCCCCGGGACAAGTATCCAGATAGAGGATAGCCCTTCAGTTCCTCCAAACTAAGAGTAGGGCTTGGACACTGACCCTGTCGATAAAGGAGTGAGACTTCAAGTCAAAAATACCCCAAAGAAATCATCATCACCACCATGAGGCTTTATGTCACTGTACTCATGAGCTTGCTGTGTTTGCATTGAACATCTACTGGTTCTCTTAACGGTCGCAGGGCCTTGAGGAATCGGCCGGTCCTTTGGGATAAGAACGACACATGTGTCGAAAACATCCAAGCAGCCTCAGAAACATGTATTCCTTGGCATCCATTGCTATCTCATCCTTCTTTGCAACATATCGGAAAACTTTGGTCTGACTCCGGGCACAAACACCCTCTCACTTCTGCCAAGATCAAGACTGCACAGCAAACCCTCCTACACTTACACTGTCCATCACAGCCTTCCTTCCTCTGATTGGTCATCACAAACTCCACCTCTTTGGCACCAAAGAACTGTCCAAAGTCAACACGACACCTCCCCACATTCACGTCGTCCAATACGACAACATCGACATACGCCCTTACTCCCACAAGAATATTACGCGCCAGATATTCTGGGCCAAAGCCCGTCTCCGTGACCTTGGCCGTGCTCATCACTTTATTCCCCATAACGTGCCCCGGCATAGAAGGCGACATCACCAACATATTCCTCGACGCAAGGACAGGGCAAAGCCCCAGGAGAAAACACGTCAACAATCTCGTCATGGCTGCATTATCGTCGTTACCCGATGATTCATTGCAAAAGTGTTGTAATGATCATGTACAATCCTCCTGACTTACACGACGGGAAGTAGCCCACGACTTGACTAGCAGTTTTAGCTATGCTGAAGGGAACTAACGCTCCGGCTAAGCCTTTACCAGCGTCGTCATTTTGTATTGTGCCTGTGAATCTGTGAACGTGCTGCGTTAGAGAGCCGGGGATTCCAGAATATGATAATACTGTACACCATCCACAGTCCATTATCTAACATAATCAAATCTAGGATCGGATTCAGGGCGGAAACATCGGATAGTCATGATCAAAGTCTCCCAAGCAAGTATCAACATAGCGTTGGATGATGAGACGTGCAGTATAATGTAGAATAGACTTCTGCGGACCGTGCTGTGTAACATTTGCTAGCTAACCTGAACCTTGGCCGTCCAGGTTCAAGGTTTCGGGATATCCTTCATATTACCTTCCATTCCTCGTTCAACAGGTCCTCTAGACTTATTACTCACCCAATCTCACTAGAAACCTTTCGTTTGCGTTCGTACCCTGTAGCTTCATTGCATAGATAATCAAGATCAGGATGCCTCTGACGGTTCGACTTTCTAGGCCTTTCCAACAAGGTTCTCTCGGGCCCCGTGTCCGGGAATATAAAGTTGATGTCCAATAACAATTATACACTTCGGTTCAACGTCGCGAGAGAAACTTGAATTTTGTCTTATTGAATATAGGGGAAAGCCCTAGGTTTGGATCGATTAACTGCCCGCTTACTTAAGCTGTTATAATTATGCAAAGGAAAGATTGGGTTAAGACGGTAACATACCAGCTTTGTGAGAAATACACATAAGCGGTAAAACTGCCTAGAAATCCGAGTTTTGTAGATCGACCTATATCCAAACTTGCTGTTGATGGAATCAGAAGAGACTTGCTCTCTGTCATCCACATTTTCCGTGCCGTGAGGCCAAGCGGGGTTGTCCTGAACGCGGCCCGATCCCGAGCTTCCATGATGTTGGATCTTTGGGCAGTAGGCAGAAAAGGTGGATCTGGAAGGCGGTACGGGCCCACCCTTACGGTCTGCCCACTAAGGTGCATACCACCTCTGGAGGAATTGGGTTCGAGGTGAGGAATTGGGTTCGAACCCAATTCCTCCTCCTTCCACCTCACGCGCGCAATAGACCAATACAGTGCTATTGACCTCGTCGCCTCTGAGTTCTGGGCCCTCTGTTGTGGTTCTAGGTTCTTGTCCTGGACTTATGCGGGGTTCGTAGCTTACCACATGATTGCCGGGGATCCCAGCCAACATGGTCATCGAACAAGCTGCGGAGGGGGCACAGGGGGCAACATTCCTTTCTTCGGTCGTCGGTCGGACAATAATAGCCTTACTCCTTCCCTGGACGCCAACCTCACAAACCCTCTCGTCAATGTTCGTCTTATCCCAACGACCCATCCAGCTCACCATCATCCTCTGCCAGACGTTCTCTTAGTCGAGAGCTTCTCGCATGGCACCAATCCTCTCAGATAGCCATCTCAAATGATGAGATCGCCCCATGAATACGACCACGCCAGACTCCGTCTCCCAAGGCCCAACAGCGACTGCGCCGCTGCCGGAAGATGTGCCGGGCAAAAAGTCCACAAAGAAACGCGTCAGGAACTTTTCCGCCGATGACCGCGCCGCCCATCGGATCTTTGAAAGGGGTCGCCGCTCAGCCTTCAAGGAACGCTTCACTGTGAGCATCAACGGGCGAGACAAAATCAGCTGTTCAATTTGTACCCAAACTGATCATCCAATCCATAGGAACTCGCAGGCCAGCTACCCGTCCTCACAGACACTGATCCCGAGCGGCTATCGAAACATGTCGTCGTAAATGAGAGCATTGCCCGCCACAAGCTCCTAGAGAGCCGATGCGTCGACGCTCTTCGAGATATTGAGTCCTTGCTACAGGAGCGTGATGAGCTGTTGGCAGAGATCAATGTCTGGAGAGGCAACGCCGGCGCGAGCCCCCAGCTGCCAAAAAGCATTTCTCATGTCGCGGGTCTCGTACAGACTGAGGATGAAATACTGAGTCGCGAAGCAAAAGGCCGCTACATACGCGAAGAAAATGGCTCCAGCGAAGCTACGGGGTCTCGTGACGGTCAAGTTCAGGCTGCAATAGCATCTAGCACCCACCCGAGCAAAGCATCTCACCTCGCGCAGGTAGTGGAAGTGGATCAGACACAGGATATCAACTCAGTTTCTGACCTAAGGGACCTGTTGCGCGACACGTCATGGTCTCAAGCTACTCAGACATATGTACCAGTGTTCCCTCCCGAGCCTGCTCTTACGAGCCCAGACGGCGTCCCAATCATACCACCGACCATCACACAGGAGTCTCTGCGAGTGGCGACGTCCGATGCAAACAACTATCGAATGTTCGTCGACGTGAATCCAACACAGCAGGCGCTGCTTCCTCAACATGGACACAAATCAGTTCCCTGTTGTCAGAGCCCTCCCGGATAGGGGCTAGTCAGAGGTAGTAAGGAGTCCAAGCAACAAAGGAGCAGCTCAGATATATATACAGCGCAGGGAGTACACGTCGAGGGAGGAGTAGATTTCAGTAATTCATCATTCTACCCCTAACTGCAGTTGGCCTCTGAGAGCTTCCACCCTGCGTCAACATCCCAACTTGACACCTGTCCCGGACGAAGACTCCGTCGCGCTGCCGAACGTTCTGCTTACGCCTAGCTATCTTTCTCGAAACAGTTTAGATCAAAACGCATTACTTCAGCGCTCTCAGCAATGGGTCTCTTGGCATGAATAGTCTATTCACTGTCCCGGGTCCTTGTGTACTCTAGCGAACGCCACTTCATAACTCACTTGTACCCAGGACATACCGACGATCCCGTTCGTCTCAGATCTGCTTAAGAACCTCCTCAATCTTTCCCTGACTGCTCTTCTCACTGTCAATGAAGAGCTTCAGCACATCTGAGAGCCGAGTCTTCGTAACGGGGTCGGCCTCGACAGCCCTCTGCAGCGCAGCACCACCATCGGCCAGGTAGTCAACGTCAGTGCGGGCCAGTTTTCCGTCCCACTCGGCCGCCGCCAGAGGGTCGATGGTGGCGAGCTTCTTCAGCCGCTCAGGGGTCGGACCGATGTCCTTGTAGACGTGAACAGGTTTCGGCACGCCTTCGCCTGACTGCTTGCTACCGTCGTATGGAAGCTTGGCCAGTTGGTCGAGGACGGTGTGCGAGATGGTTGCGGAGTGGCATCCCATTTCCCCCGCCGCCATGGCCTCTTTGGCTGAGATGAAGCTGGAATGGATAGCTTAGCGGCGCTTGGAATAACATTAGTTCAATACGCGCTTACCTGGCATTCTTGACGAGTGGCTGTTCTTTGCCGGTCTCATTGTATAGCCGCTTGTATGTCTCAATGATCTGGACGATTCGTGCCGACATAGGGTGTTGCGTCGCTGGGTCTTCGACATTCGGCCAGAGGGTATCCGGTTCATCGTGGGCCCGCACCTCTGCGACAGACATCAGTAAGGAACGCTCAATAAAGTGGGCGGGTTGGCCTGACCATTGTAATACGGGCTGATGTACAGCATGCCGGCCTGGCTGCAAGCAATAGCTTGAGGCAGACTGAATAGCGCTGTCCCTAGGGTAGGGATCCCTTCCGACGACAAGATCTTTGCCGCATTCAAAGCTGGTCCAGTCGATGGAATTTTGATGCAGTATCTATCGCGACCGATGCCGGCCTTGGCAAATTTGCGGTCGTAGAGGTGTGCATGGTCGAGGGTCTCCTGTGTCTTATACGCGTTGGAGGGGAGGGTTTGCAGGATAACCCGACCGCGAATAGAGTCGATGTTCTTTTTGCACATGAGAACGGCCTGAAGATTCAGCGTCAGCCTATTATCATGGCACGAGGGATTGACTTAGTGCAGACCATGCGAGTGTAGATGGCGAGCCACCCTTCATTCTTCAGTTGCTTTGCAGTCTCGAGGAAAAGGTCTCTGTTCGATTCATGGCCAAGCTGGATATCAACCCAGAGCTGGTTGCTCGTCTGGTCGTGGGGAACAATGGGCTTGCTCTTGATGTATTCGGGATCCATCCAATCGACATCGACATTTACTATGTTATGTTAATGAGTGTCCAGGCATCTGTGAGGTAAATCTAGGCGTAAGTTTTCACTTACTCTGTTCCTCAAGCTTATCAAGCCATGTGATTGCGCCCTGGCTTCCCATGATTGCGGATCAGAGGTAAATCTTGCTGGATCTCGAGGGGTCGTGACGTTCTGTTGCCTGCAGTTCTCAATCATTTGATCTTCACAGCACGTTTCTGAGCCCAAAGAAAGTCTCATTTAATAAATTGGGAAGGGGGTTTGTACTTGAGGTTAGAATCCGTGATGTGGGATTAACCTATCTTAATCCGAGGCCGACACGCCCTAAGCTCTAGGTCTCACCAAGATCCTAAGTTGAGGCGTCCTAGCTCTAGTCACTTTTCGCTTTCCTCGAAGATTATTTATTCTTGCTATGTTTCCGCTCTTCCCGATCTCCTTGACTACCCTGCGCTCGTGTGAGCAGGTACCTTGATGATTCTATTGATCACAGTGCGGAGTCACTCAACTTCAGTGTTTCATACCGGTTATGAAGGTCCCTGAAGTGCGATACTGAAATTTCTGTCAAAACTAATAATCTGAAAAAGCTTATGATCACACTCGCCATTGTGGAACCACTAGAATCACAAGACTGTAAGTTTCCTGGATTACGATTGGACTCACGATCCTTAGAAAAAGGTATCGACTCACCACCATTCTCTCGGCTTCAGGGACTTGATAATACACCTGACTCATGGTACAGATCATACAAGAGATGGAGAATAGACAGATATACATTTGAGGCAGTCGCTATCCGCTAAGCAAGGATAGCTTCACGGAATGTTCGCTATTTAGGGGTGCCACGTGAGTTGAGCACATAGTCTGTATTCAACACTGTAGACGACTTTAGAAAAGAAGCTGAGCCAAAATAACTCTACTCTAATCTCGTGAAGTACAAGAGGTTCTATTCGAGTAGGCAGTTCCCTCATTTCCCAATAGTCATTCATACCCTCACCTCCATGCTGTAGATGTTTCATTGGCTGAGTTGACCGTATCCAGCTAATAGTGGAGTACTGAAGCAGAGTAAGAATACCTGGACCGAGTGTCACAAGGCTCCAGAAAGACCAACTCCGTTTGTTCGTGGTTTCGCGATGGCGAATAACGGCCTTCTCGCATCTTTTTGGGATTGGAATGTCGTCAATGGTTGGCCCTGTCTCCATGTTCTTGATAATTAGACCCCAGATCAAGCTTTGGCTCAATCTCGTGAAGAAATAATCCACCAAGACACGGGAGAAGAAAAAGGTCTCCTTGATCGATGCTGCTGTGGTTCAGTGATCCTGATTGACGGCAGCCTCAGCACGGATGAAGCGTTTGGCCTGAACTTCCGTAAAAAGGAACTAATTGTCATCTCCATTGAAAATTTCTCTAGCCGTTCGATTGGCCATCTCGGGGCCTAGGACCCTTTCCGGGCCCTCGCCAGGGTTTTCTCATATCCACACCCTCCGACCAAGAAAAAGTGGATATGCGGCGAGTACACGTCGTCAACCAAGTACTGGGGCAGGAATGGTCTTGTACAAATCAGAACATGTACGAGGGGCCTGTTTCGGCAGGCCACCCTCTCCAGACATATCCGGCCTTAAGCCGCAAAATTCAAGAATGGAACTGGGGCACCAGCGGGAACCAGGGACAGATAGAACGCATAGTAGCCATAAGGCACGATTTGGAGGACGATTTGAACTGTATCTAGCAATAGTTATAGGGCGACGGCTCTCCACGCCATATACCCTTCGGGAGGTCGGCCGCAAGAGCGGCTGCGCCCTTGCCGCCACGGCGTTAAATATAACAAACAAACAAAAATCGATTGGCCATCTTTTGTCTGAGTGTTCACAAGAACAGCGGCAGTCTCCATGGCGCTATTACCGCCTTGCGCACTAATGGGATGGACTTATGATAATGGATTTGTTTAGTTCTTATTGCACAAGAAGCACTCTGACGTTTGCATACCTTGTGAGCGGCCTTGCCGATTATCAGGACTCCTTGAAAATACGATCGGGGAAAGACATGACCCGCTAGGGCCACTAGAGTCGTCTGTAGTCTATTCGCGTGTATGTCGCGGAATGTCTCCGTAACCTGTTCATCAAAGTGGTTCTCTGCTAGAGCGAGCTTGTATTCCTTTGTAAATTCTGGGATGGCTTTGCCATATAGTCTGGCGAACGATGTGAACAAGAACCAGTACAGACTGTTGTTTGGGGCAGATAACACCATGTAGTTACAGCTCTTGAAGAACGAGTTGACTTGAATCGCAGTGCCGGGCAGTCCTGTAGGTCGTTTCGATACTCCGAAGATGCACTCGGATTCCGATTGCAACCCTAGGTGGAAATCAGAAACAGCGAAATAGTGCCTGAAAGATTACGAAGGACGAATCGTTGATTGAATCTGATTTGAACAGACCGGGGATGGACTCATAAGAATGACGCCACATTTCACCCCTAATCGCGCTATGGACGCCATCGGCTCCGAAAACGATGTCCCCCGTGTGGACGGTGTGGACGGAAGCATCTTGTGTATGAAAGGTGGCTTGTTCACCTAACAGATCCACGCTTACAACTACTTGGGTGGTTAAAACTCGGTCTTTGAACTTGAACTTATCAAACAGAACCTGTTGAAGAGTTTTGCGGTCGACAAATATCTGAGGGTAGCCAAGTCTAAGTAGAACAGGAGCCATTGGTCCCAAGTCTATATGGACCTACGAGATACACACAGTAATCAGTTGGCGTACCTATCTTCCAGCTACTGTGAGAAAGAGACAGGCTGCGTATCAGTCCAAGTATTTCCGCTGAACAAACACAAAATGGTGCGATAGGAGACATCCCCGGCGGCTTCCTTAATCTTCTCGTAGCAGACCAATTGGTCCAAAATGCGCAGACCGTTGGGAAGAAGCCCGATACTGGCTCCAAATTGAGGCGCAATCGTGCTATGCGGCTCCAGAAGGATATATTCGATATCGAATTGTTCAAGCATTTTGGCAAGCGGCAGACTGAATATGCTTTCGCAAGCAATGATTACCTTCAATCCCATGCTGACAGACAATGCAGTCGAGAAATTCTGATGACTCGAATGCTACGATATTTCTCATCGTGGAAGGAATGTGGATTATGAAAGATGTTAAAAGAATTACGAACTGCTACCAGACACCTCACAGGATAAACCTAGAGGAGTATTTCGCAAAACTCCAGTTTGCGACATGGACAGTAGTAGTAAGAACTGCTCCGGCGCCGGAACTTGCGGAGCCCCGACTCGGGAGGCCGACGGAAGCCATGTGGGTCTGGAATAGGTAAACGACGGGGAGTGACTCAATTTTTGATCAAGCCGCCTCGAGGCCAGTGCCAAAGGGGCCAATGGGAGGGGGTCTCAGCCACAACCCAAGCCTTCTCTGACGACGAATTAGTCACATCCGGAATAGATTGTGAAGTTTAGCCCACCTGCGTTCGCCGTACGCCGCATATTTTATTTTCCAGTCCCCTTCAGTAATTGGTGAATAACAACCATTCCAATGTTGTGGTCGTCTGATGGTAAGTCAAACCCCCCACTTCCTGGCACCCCCCTGTTTCTGGCACCCACAAAAACGCGAAAATCCACCACAACCCAATGCCCACCCCCAACCTCCTTTTATCACAACATTTTCAATTCGCGTCCAAATGGGCTCATCTTTTGCACATACCTTCTTCTATATCTAATGCCTCAATATACCGAAGATCAGCTTCGTCAGGCTCTCGAGGACATCTCAAACGGCAAGAGTCAAAAGAGAGCCTCATTGGAGTATGGGATACCACGATCAACCCTCCAACTACGTCTCCAAGGTGGTCAGACTAGGAAAGTGGCTTTTGCTGACTGGCAGAGGCTGTCTCCTGACCAGGAGAGTAAGCTGGCACAATGGGTTCGCATTCAGGCTTCGCTGGGCCTCGCACCAACGCACCAACAGGTGAAGGAATTCGCAGAGCGAGTTCTGGCTGCTGCTGGGGATACCAAACCACTGGGAAAAGGCTGGATCTATGCCTTTGTGAGAAGGAACCCTATCATTAAGGTTCAGAGAAGTCGTTCTATCGATTCTAGACGCGTTAATGGGGCATCTACTGAGGTCATTAGGAACTGGTTTAAGTTCCTCGCTATCCCTGAGATCAAGGACATCAAACCAGCCAACAGATATAATATGGATGAGACTGGCATCCTCGAGGGTCAGGGAGCTAATGGGTTAGTGCTGGGTATGGCTGAGACGACGTCTGTTCGCAAGAAACAACCTGGGTCGAGGGCATGGTTCTCTATCATTGAGTGTATCTCAGCCTTGGGTAGGGCACTTCGTCCTCTTATCATTTTCAAGGGGAAGACAGTCCAACAGCAGTGGTTTCCATTACATCTCGTTCCATACGATGGGTGGGAGTTCACAGCAACAGATAATGGCTGGACTACAGACTTAACTGCCATTGAATGGTTAGAGAAGGTGTTCATCCCACAGACTATGCCTGAGGCTGAGGGGGAGGCTCGACTGCTGATTGTGGATGGGCATGGGAGTCATACGACGACAGACTTCATGTGGAATTGCTATATTAACAATATCCATTTACTGTTCTTACCACCACACTCCTCTCATGTCCTCCAGCCTCTTGACCAGTCTGTCTTCAGCCCTGTTAAGTCAGCCTATCGGAAGGAGCTCGGTTACTTGTCTCAATGGAACGACTCTACCATTATAGGTAAAAGGAACTTCCTGGACTGTTACCAGAAGGCTCGACTTGCTGGTCTATCAGTCTCGAACATCAGAAGTGGTTGGAAGTGGACTGGTCTACACCCTGTGGCGATGGTTAAGCCCCTGATGAACCCTATGGTGCTACCTGAGCCTCCTGCTAAGCCCACCACACCCAAACCAACTAGTCAGGGCAGAAAGCGATGCCATAATGGTCAAAAAACTACCCCTGTTGAGCCATGGGATTCTGCCTCCTCTGCAGTGGTCTGGTCGACACCCAGGAAGCTGGCAGAGCTCAGCGGTCAACTGCACTTATACACCCAACTCGACAATGATACCAGCACTCAACGGCTGCTATTCAGGAAGGTGAAAAAAGGCTTCACAGAGCAGGCCTGGCAACTGGCAGCTGCCCAGCAGCAACTAGCTCACCTGAGGGCTCAAGTTACCAACGCTGCAGTGAGGAAGAGGAAGACTGTTCAAATCGATCCCAACACGAAGTTCGCGAACATCAGGGATATCCATCGGGCTCAAATCGAAGCGGGTGAAAAGGAGGTTATCACGGCTGAATCCAGCGACTCTGAATGCCCTAGTGAGGCTGGCAGCTGTATTGTAGTGGGTGTGGTTGAGGATCAATAGTTAATAGTAATGAGGAGGTCGGGTTGTGATCCCATCGTTTTTGTGGTGCCAGAAACAGGGGGGTGCCAGGAAGTGGGGGGTTTGACTTACCATAATGCCAACAGATCGATCTATTGCTAGTTGCAACTCCCTTTCTTCAAACCAAGGCACCTTCAACTTCCTCTGAACGTCGTGCTGCAACAAAAAGTCATGGATCCTGAGAATGGATATGACGAAGAGGTCGAGGCCACGTCGTCATCATCTTTACAGGCCACCTCTCAAAGAGCTGTCAGTTTCAATCCGGGTTCCGGAACAAGCGCCCATGTTGGTCGCAGTAGCTAACACATCATAAGTGTGATACCTGCCGCACCCGAAAGGTAAGGCAACGTTCTGACCCATGCCTTTTGGAAGCCACCATGCTTCCGTCATGGTGTGTCTGTTCAAGGAAGAACGAGCCACGGCTAATTGACAGCTGACTCTAGATTCGATGCAACAGAGAACGCCCATGCTCACATTGTGCGAGTAACAATGTCGAATGTACACAAACAGATATCACTAGACCGCGGATCAAACGCAAAAGAATCCTGTTGACTTCACAATAGTAAGCTCAAGTTCCCAAGGGTCTTTGACGCCTTCGAAGACAGAAATACGTACGATCTTGTCTGACATTTAGTCGGGGTACCAGTGAGCAGAAGATTGACGAGATTGACTCCCTTCTCAACGAAGCTGTTGATCTGCTGAAGGGCGTCCACGACAAACTTAAGACTGACCCCGTTGCACCCTACCATACGCCAACATCTACTCTTATGTCCCGATCAATTGAGTCAGGATCTAGTCCTGAAATGGTCGTGGAAGGAGAGTCCTCGCTTGCTGCTCAATTTTCCTTCGCGGAAGATTTTATACAATAGGTCGCGAAGACTGACTTTCTTCGAACCTCTGGCTTAGAAATGACGGAGAGCCTTGAGAACCTTTCTAATATAGTAGCCACTTACAGGCAACAGCCTGTCTTTGACGAAACGATATATCCCCATGCTCGACCTATCGAACACCCTGGCCTCCATACGTGGAAGTTGCCTCCGATACAAGAAAGCGTTGCATTGATCCAGGTCGCCAAATGTAAGTGATTTGGTCCCTGTCTCATGTAAAAATTGACGGATACAACTTCTTACCGACGCGTTTGCCAGCCCAACGCCTCGCCGGAACAGGTTGGATCTACGAGTATCTACCGATGAACCAATTCTCAACAATTTGTCTCGACGTCTACTTCACCGAACACTATTCTGAAATGGATTTCATCATCGTTAACGCCGACCTTCACTCGATCTTCAAAGATTACAGCACAATAGTCGTTGGGGACGAAAGAGAACGTTGTGAAAGGCACGCTCTCTTATGCCGTGCCAATCTCGAGACAGGGCTTTCCAATTTGCCCTTGCACATGCCTGCTATACCAAAAGCAATAATTGCTCTGCTTTTTGGTGTGAGTGAAGATTACATCTAGGCAAAGATTTTGACGCTCACTTCGTTGCAGGCTTTTCATGCCATCGAGCTCTCGAAGCCTTTTTTGGCCTGGACTCTGTCTTCAAAAGCATCCGAAATATGCCAAACATTGGGATATCACCGAGAATCTTCTTCAAAGAGCGAGAGAGAGAGGAAGATGCTCGTTTCAAGAGATTTCTCTTCTGGAGCAACTACTTCGTTGATAAGAGCCTGTCGCTGCGCCTAGGTCGGGCGTCGACTCTTCCGGAGTGGACAATAACCGTTACTAGGCCGTCAATTGCGGATCCTCGTGAAGAGCCGGCGTTGGCCTACTTCGTGTTGTGGGTGGAAGCTGCCCGATGTCAAAGAAAGATTTACGAAATGCTCTACAGTCCAGATTCAGTCAGGCAACGAGACGAAGAACGGAGATCACGAATCCAAAGTCTCATATCTGACCTAGAAAACCTGGCAAAAGCGACCTCGGAAACAAATGCAAGTAATAGATACGCGATGCAAGATTGGAGAACTGATTCAAGCCGCAGAAAAAATGGATTAAAACCGCAGTCGATAACGCCGGGCAAGACTTGATGGACTTTTACGCAACATCGGATGAGACGTTGCGCCTTTCACTCCTCACATTAGTCCAACGAGCTGCACCTCAAGATCTTGAATGTTCCATGACATTCAATTCTGAATGCGTCAACGCTGCGCGAGCGACCATTGAAAAGCATAAGGACTGCATACCTGTCATGAAAAGGAGCGGGGATGCATACTTCCCAGCATACTTCCAATGGTAAGTATTGCTCATTGTGCGTTTACAAGCGTGAATGCTGATTAGCGTAGGACTCTTTTATTTGCGCCGTTTGTGCCATTTGTCGTGGCTTTTTGCCATGTTATCGAAACCCTCGATCAGGCAGACCTTGGTCGCCTTGGTGAATTCGTCGCGTCTATAAAAGATGCTGCTTGTGTTTCAAGTGCTGCTACTCGAGTACATCACCTGTTCAATGCTCTTCATGGTATTGCATTGCGCTACGTTGGATTTCGCGCGCTTTCAGCACGACGGAGACTTCAAATGTAACTGCGGGCGGAAATTATCGCCTACCCATCCAGTATATTGCACGAAGAACCGCCGTACCTCGGCGCTATGGCCGATTACCGGGACCGTGGACGATCCGGGACCACTACCGCCCCCGATAGGCCTGGCCGAAGCCTATTGGTACGCCCTGGTCAGAGACCCGGGTGCCTTTGAGAAGTTCGAGCGTGTGACGCGCTACTATGAGGCTCACTCTCTGCAAAGATAGCGAGCCCGAGATCCCGCGCCTCACAACTCTCTCACACACCCACCGACGCCTTGAGGCCCCGGCCTTACCACACCCCTCTCTCTTCCTTCCTCCTTTATCTTCTATATAAGAAAATATAAGAAAACAGAAAAATGCTCGCGTAGGCAAATATGCCTCCGAGGGCCGGTTACTTGTTGCGGCAACGCCGTCTGTGGACGGCGTAGGGCTGCTAGAGACCCATTCGCTTCTGCCGAGTCAGGGACCCCCTGCTGGCGTGCTTTTTGGAACTGAACGGACCCTGGGGATTAGATACTAAACTCCACTGCTCTAGGCACGAGAAGAAAAGTGTACATTATCCCATCGAGTGCTGCAAGGCGACAGTACATTGGCTCCACATAAGGGGCCCTCTTTTACCCCGCACCGCATCTGGTACATCCACTGCTTGAGTTGCCCCTATGATTTCTACTACGGTACATCCACCAAACTGCCTCGAGTGCGATGTAGCTCTCTGTAACTCAGAAGATTGCTGGTACCGATTTCATACGCAGAATCTCTAATAATTGGAAGTATCTATTATCAATTACGTTGGTTGGTTGGAAAAAGGGGCCCGAAGTGGCCCGATTGGCTGCTCCCCCGCATCTCAATGTACTGTCGCCTTGCAGCACTCGATGGGATAGACTGCCTGACTTGTCGTACGCTATAATGGTGGCACGGCACATCATATGCCCAAAGGGCGCTCTGGTTGATCGGAGCTTAGTTACATAGATAGCTGGGCACCTGTCCCTGATGATGTAAAACACCACTACTACTACTACTACTACTACTACTACTACGTTGGATTTCGCTCTCTCCCATCATGCGAGACCCAGCCACAGAGCGATCCTGAAATCGACTGGGTACTTGCCGCTCTGGCGCCTCCTTTAAACTGGGATGAGCGCCGTGGCCAGCAGTTTCAAGAAGGCGGTTCAAATGCTCTTAGAGGCAATGCGGTTGTGGACAGTCAACAGTGTGACGCAACAACTTTAGATGGAACAAGCCTTGGAGTTATCGGGAATCGTTCCTTAATGCGAATGGGACACCAGATGGAGTTGGAATCCTGGTTTTATTAACAGTGAGGCTATGACGGGTATATTGAGGCAATCTGAGACCAAGTTCACTGGGGCGAACTAGACAGATTCACTTCCATGGAGCAGCAGGATGGTCATCGAAGATAAGAGATGCGAGAGAGTCGGCGTTGGAAAGGTACATGTATTTAAGGAGGCTTTCCGTAGCTTACAACAGAGAGGAATCATGCTTAAGTAGGTAGTCATCATTTCCACATCTAGCTAACAGCGGATGGGCAATGCGGTTTCAGAAATGAAAGACACAGCGAGATTTGTTATCAGCTCAAATATATTATATGCTCCTTCAACTTTGTTCATCTCGCAAAGACCTCATACACGACGAAGGCTGACATTTGCTCTGTCAACGGGGCCTTTAAGGCCCTTAGCACCCTCATTTGAGTATCCTGCAGGGGCCACAATTTCTGCCATTGTTCCGACAGGAAGAGTTGCCTGGATGAGTATCACTACAGCAGTCTCATCGACGCTGACCTCAACCTCAAACATGCCTTGCGAAAGTTTTGTATGATAGTGAGCAGACTTGATACCCGAAAACACTGGTGCAAGCTGTACTTTGCTCCAACCCGGTTGCAGCGGCTTCACGCCAACTACATACTGCGGCAGAAGAAACACTGGCCAACAGGACCAGGCATGCATCAGTGAGGTGTCATGTCCAAAAGGTTTGCCCTCGGCTGTCATCGCTTCCCAGTGCCCTCCCGAGTAGTTTGGACTTGACGTGTCCGCCATTGGACCCCACACATTTTCGATCAGTTGAGTTGCTTCACGACCCTTTTGACGTGAAAATAGCGCCTCCACGGCAAATCCTGTTGCGTAGGGACTCACAACCCCCGTACGGTCCCAATGTTGGAGCCCTTTGAAAGCTGCAGGCATCCAGCCTGGAGGTCCAGAGAAGTGAGATGCACAAAGGTCGCAGTTTTCAGCAACATCAAGTGCAATAGCATAGCCATTCGTGTCCTGACAGATTCCTTCCTCCGGCAAGGCGGACCCCATGCGGATGCAACCCTTTTCAGAATTCCATAGGTTGGTTACAATACTCTTCTTCAGAGTCTCAAGCTTTTCAGACAATCGGGATCTTCGATGGTCGTCGGTGGTCATGGCCTTCACAGCGTTCAATGCGTCGTAATATGCCAAGTTTGTTGTGCCAGAAGCTCCAAAAACAGGTCCTCCAAGCGGATACCAGTGCACTATGTAATGTTAGCCAATATAACATGCAACTGAGAGACGTGCCTTCATCTTACTTGACATGTCAGGTGAAACTTCGATCAATCCTGATGGCTTCTCCTGGGATTCGGCGTAATTGAGCAACTTTTCCGCCACCGGAAGATAACGACGAAGAGCTTCATGGTCTCCAGAATTCAACCAGTAGTCCTTGATGGCGACTACCAACAAGAAGGCGTAAGTCATAGAGTAGAATGCGTAAGTCGGGGGAGGCTCGCTCCCTTCGTGGATAGGGGCCTGGATAGGACACAGATTTCCAAGGTATCCTGCCCCTGTCTGATGGCTAGCAAGAAGCTCGATGCTTCCTGCAACAGCCCCGTAATCCATACCAGAATATGCAACGCCTCGACCTGAAACGAAGAGATCTCCTCCAAATGTTGCTCGGTCTCTCTTCGCGCCATCTACCATGCAAGACACAGCATTCGTCCCAACTTGGAAGTCTGCCAGTGTCCTCTCCTTGTTCCCGGATAACAAGTCATTCTCGTAAAGACAATCTCCGTTCGCGTCTCTGACATTCAAGTTGCGATAGAGAGCAAGCCAACCCTCAGGACCTCCGAAAGCTACAGAGCCAGTGTTGATTCCCAAACCTTCAAGAAGAGGTCGGATCTGTACGTCTGTGATTGTTGCAACTTCTTTCTCGTTGATGATGACGGTGATTCGGTTACCGCTCGTAATGGTAGAAACCTTGATCCAGTCGCCTTGCTTTACAATTCCGTGAGTAGACCAGCTGCCAAAGGACTTGACCGGAAAAACGGCCGATACATGTGACAACCCCTCGAATGCACAAAGCTCTTCTTGGATAACGTCCAGGCAGAAGATGACTCCGTTAGCAACCATGTGGACGCCCCAACTGGCACCAAGATTTTCAACTAGAACTTGGAACGAAACTTCCTTGTCGCCCCATCGCGTGCCTTGGCGGCAAGGAGCCCAATGCTGACCAGGAACCCTGGTCCCTTGATCGGTGATGTCCCAGGCTGGGGCCGTCTCCCCTTTGACCACGGTGCACATTTCTAGCGTGTTGACACCGTCATTCCAGATGCGGTTGAGAGCTTCGTTTGAACAGCTGAAAGAAGCCTTGGGTCTTATTATTGGCCTGATTGCACCGAAACCGAGTTTGCTGATGACAAGAGTGGCATTGGAAGTGATGAGAATAACTTTCAAGTACCTCTGGGATCGTTGTGCGAGTCTTGGTTTGATAGTTTGCTGCGATTCCGAGGGCGTTATAGTCATAACAACATTGCGATAACAGTCCATAGCATTGGAGAAGAAAAATTAGGGGCCATCGCCTTCGAGATTGTTTTAGTTGGGCACTTTTACTTTTGAAGGAGAATATCCATACCTGTTTCGCACTCGATTCCTTCAATAGTTTCGCTGTAAAGGATTCTCACTTTGATAGGGCCCTCGCCGCTCGCACGATCAACCATGAGTGAAGGAAGTCCGCCAATGCATCGGCCGTAATCAAAAGTTATCGATGCCTGTTTCGAAGATTCAGACAGTTCGCCATTTGTAAGAGTGACGACCCCTGATTCAGCGTCGCGGCGAGCACCATTCGAAATTGAAACGAGCCGCGATGGCTCCAACAGGGCCACATTTGAGGAATCCATTCGAATCCCAATAGATATACAATGCAATGAATCAAAATCGTTGAATTTTGTCACGTAACAGGGATAGTAACCGCATCTCACGAAGCGCCCGTCACGTGCTGTATCACGTGTATATCACATACATCCTGTATATAGACCTTTCTCTTTTGTCTATTTCCACTTTGATATTGCCCGAGTCATTGAACAGGAACGTTAGGTGAAGACGGTAGCCTGTAACATAGTTTAGATTAGTATAGACCATGTCGGCATAGCGCCCGGCACGTCCTTTTGTTACCAGACGTTAAATACATCATCATCATCATCATCATCATCATCCACTTTGATAGGTTAAGCCACTTTACCACACTCCGTATGCCCATTGCTGTGTGCCATAACTCGTGACAGTTATGAGCCCAGCTCTTAGTTAAGACCCCATACCACGATAACGCACTCATCAACACGATTCCTACGTTCTCTTCAAGATGACCGACATCTTCACATCCACTTTTGGCCAAGCCAAATTGACTGGCCGCGACAGTTGGATCAAATGGTTCCAGGCCTTCCGCCTTATGAGTGAGGGACTCGAGGTCTGGAAGTACGTCGACCCAGACGCTCCAGACTCCGACGCACTCCTCACTCCTCTCACGGCGTTCACTTCACCTTCTGACTTCGAACTATTACTCTCAACCCGTAATGAAGAAGAACAACGAGCCTACGAGGCACGCCGTGAGGCGTTCGAAAACGACCAAAGGAACTGGGAAATCCATCGCCAGCAACTTCCAGCCCCAACTCCCAGCATGACCCCTTCGACTTCCTCGAGCACGAGCAACCCACAGGATCCAGCTGGAACTCCTTTTACGATACCAGCTATGCCACCTACTTCACGCAATCAAATCTATCCCTATACCGCACCCGTGAAGAGGATCCATACGCTCGAGAATATTCAGAAGGAATGGGAGCTCTCTGCCAAATACCATCAAATCATGGCTCCTGAACGTAACAGTGTTAATACGCACATCAAACTCCTCGCCCAGTGGTTGGGAAAATCAGTTAACGCCACTCTCTACGAACACGCATTCCAGAAAGCAACCGAGAACGGCGTCAAGTTCAGCGTACAACGAATCGTCAGACAACTGAAGCAGGAACTGGCGCCCTCCGAGGCCATGGTCAGGAGTGCGGTTCGCCAGGAGTACAGACAAGTCCTCAGCAAAGCGAGGACCGGAGTTAACCCCCAACGCTGGTACGAGGAGTGGCAGTCTACTTACCTCCGAGCCAAAACGTACGATATCCCGGAAATTGACGGAGAGATCGCCATAATCGACTTCCTGGATGCGGTTAAGTCCAGACTCAACCCTACATGGGGCCAACGCACTTATGAGACTTTCCGCGAATCAATGGCTTTCGAAACGCACACCAGGACCCTCGAGGAGATTGCGTATGCGTTTAGCCTGGTAACCCAGGAGGCGCACACCAAACGGGCTTCAGGTCAAGGAGGGGCTTACTCCACTTTCGCTGGACGCTCTGACTCAGTTGAGAACGCAAACGACAAGGGGGACGTTACTTGCCCTTGCAATCACGCACACCGCTGGAGGCCTTCGGCGTGCCGAAAGTTGGAATGGGCACTTACAAGCCGTAACACCAGTGGGTCGCCAATGCGAATGACAGACAGCCAAGTGGAGGAAGTCCTTGCCGCGGTCAAATCAAGCAAATGGAAATCCCTCCATGCTGAGCTCAAGAAAGTTGGTTGGCTCAAGAGCGATGGAACCCCAAAGAAGCCTCGGCAACCGAAGGGATCCTCCAACCAACCCACTGCGAGCTCAACGGCAGACCAGGATGACGGCCACATCGTCGCTGTACTCATGAAGAGTCAGGAGGCAGAGATAAACGCAATCTTCAGTACCCCTATGGGTGGCGCTCATCCGTTGTCCCAGAGCACGGTAATGGACAGCTGTGGAGCAATGCACCTAGTCAACGATAAGAGCCTACTTGAACCCGAGAGCTGTGTGCTGTCAGGCGACGATGACTACGTCGAATCAGGAACTACCACATTGCCTGTTACCGCACGCGGTACTCGTATCATGAGAGGCGTTTTGGACGGACCTAAGGGGGAGGGAACATGCGATCTGAGGCTTCAGAACGTTGCCTACGTTGAGGGATTCCATGTCAACATAGTCTCGGAGACTCTTCTAAACAGAAGCGCACTCTGGTACTGCGGTCTGGATTGCACTTTACGACAGGGAACGCTCCGCAAGAGCACTGTCAAGAAGCAGCTCATCCGAAAGAACAACCTAGTCTTCCTCGAATACAAGCTCCTCCAATCCTACCCTTCTTCCGCAGACCTCAAGCGTGTCCTGAAGAGCCCAGCTGGTATTATGCTACCAGTCAGCCGTGGAAAATTCCGTCGCTCGTACCAGCGCACCCGTGAGAGATCTGACAGCGCGCTCCTTTGGCACCTCAGGACTGGCCATCTCGGACCTAATGCCCTTCGTCAACTCCTCTACAAGACTCGTGGTGTGCGTATTAAACCCCCATCACAAGTTGAGTGTGAGGCATGTGCAATATCCGAAGCCAAGTCAGTGATCTCAAGAGGACCACCCTCAAAAAGAGCCTCACGGCCATGGTACCGTGTGCACTGGGATCTCTTCCACTTCGAGCCATCTCTGAGTGGACGACAATACATGCTCATCGCCTCAGACGAATACAGTGGACAGCTCAGGGGGTTCCTTTGAGGAACAAAACCGAGGAGGAAGTGCTATTCGCACTGCAGAGCCTCGAGGCAGCGATCCGTCGTCAGAAAGGAACCCCAATCTGCTTCTTCAGAAGCGACAATGAGACCGCCCTCCTCACCGCAAACGTCAGACGCGCTTACGAGACGTGGTGTGGTGAGCTAGGAATTGGAATAGAGCTTCCACCTCCACATACGAAGGAACCAGTAGGCAATGCCGAGAGAGCAGGTCAACTCGCAATCACCAAAGCTCGCAAGATGCGCCTTTCTGCGAACCTCCCTGAGAATCTCTGGGACGAAGCTGTGTTGGCAGCGATTTTTATCCATAATATTACCCCACGAGAGGCCAACGATGAAGATTCGCCCATCACAATGGAAATCAACTGGCAGAAGCGATATCAACGCTGGTGGCAGACGGGCCACCGAGTGCGGGATTCCGAACCGGTTACCCCGCATCTTGGCGGTCTCTACCCATATGGTTGCCGAGCATACCCTCTTCACAGGGATCGTGAGAGGGGCATACGTCGGAAGGAGTATAAAGTGCTTCCCCGCGGGCATATAGGATACCTGGTTGGATATGTGCCAGAAACGCACAACCTATACAGGGTCTGGGTGCCCGCGCTCGAGCAGGTGTTTGTTACGAGGAATGTTAGGTTCAACGAAGAAGTCTTTTATGATCCCGCACACGAGGAGCAAGCTATCGTGGGCGAACAAGCAAATCTGGTAATCCGAGAAATGCAAGAACTCTTCAACGCCAACGATGAGGTAGTTCGAGCACTCGGGGAAGTGGATCTGGACTTCGGAAATGCCAACACTCAAGACAACTCTGTGGTCGAGTATAGTATTACTGTTGGATTTTCAACTGTTCAGGACGCTGAGCAACCGACAGACGTACTCCAGGGTGCGGTTAATGATACTGACGAGGCTGACATAGCCTTGCCGGCACTACCAACCCCTGAGATGACCCCCTTGCGCGAGCTCGGGGGTGGGGGTGAGGAAGGGGATGTAGCAACCGGGTCACAGACGGCTCTGCGCATTCCACAGTCCTCCCCACGAGCGCTTACACATACCGCGGAGGTTCTTGAGCCCTTAATTCCTGACGGCTCTCAGCAGGAAGCTGAAGCACGCGGCAGACGAGGTGCCGATCACGAGGATGCAATTCCTGACGCTGAAGTCGACGTCAGCAGGGAACCCTCACAACAAACCTCTACTATTACACAAGAACAGAGCTCACAAGAACCGCCTCAGCGAGTGCCAAGTGAAGCTCCGTCAGGTCCCAGACGTTCAAACCGGGCCCGCAGACCTCCACAACGCTTCGACGGCAGCATCTTCGCGACGCTCTTACATTCGAATACAGAAGACGGCGATTACCACAACCGCCGCTGGGACTGCTTTTTCTCCACCTTCATGCCTGATCAGCAGAAAGCTATGGAGGAAAGCAGTGTAGGACATACAACACTTCACCAAGTGATAAAAGGGGCAGTCCACAGGACCTACCTGGAGCGCCCCGGCATGGGTCAAAAACCACGGCCCAACAAAGTTGACTTCTTGAGCCCACCAAAGAAGTTCAGCGATATCGAACACCTCCCACAGCAACTACAGAAGCTGCTCAGGGATGCCATGGACGCTGAGATGAAAAAGTTGAAGGATATTGGCACATGGGAGGAGGTCGACCGTGATCCCAAACAAGGGATCCCACTTCCATTGAAGTGGGTATACACCTACAAGCACGACGCTGACAACGAGGTCTACGAGGTAAAAGCACGTATATGTGTAAGGGGGGACATGCAACCACTCGACCCCTTACAAAATACGTACGCTTCAACGCTCTCCGCAAAGGCCTTCAGGCTTGTGATGGCAATAGCTGCCCAATTCGACCTTGAGGCTGACCAGTATGATGCCATCAACGCATTCCTCAACGCGCCCATCAAGAGCGAAAAACCAGTGATTGTTGAACTCCCCGAGGGATACAAGATCACTGGCAAAGTAGGGAGACTCCAACGCGCTCTGTACGGTCTGCGAGACTCGCCAATCTTGTGGTTCCAGACTTTTACCTCCATACTTCGTAGTATGGATATGATATACAGCCACGAGGAGATCTGTATATACCAAACCGCAGACAGGAAGGTGATGCTGGTGTTCTATGTCGACGACTTCATAGTTCTATACCATCGAGACGACCGAGAGGCGGCTCAGGAGGTCGTCGACGGCATAAAAGAATACATCAACCTCAAGGAGAATGGACCGATCAATTACTTCCTCGGAGTGCGGATTATACGAGACCGTACTGCTCACAAGGTTTACCTGGTCCACGACGCATACATCGAACGGGTTGCTAAGCGCTTCGACCTCATGGATTCAATAAATCCAGCCACCCCTCTTCCGCAGTACGAGTTCAAACCAAACGAGGGGCAGGCAACGAAGGAAGAAATAAAAAGCTTCCAGGAGAAGGTCGGAAGTGTGCTTTATACAGCCATTATGATCAGACCAGACGTCGCTTTTGCTTGCTCGCAATTATCACGGTTCCTGACCAACCCAAGCGCAACCCACATCAAAGAAATCAACCAGTGTATCCGATATCTCTATGCAACAAGATATCTTGCGCTCTCCTACGGCAGCGTACCGAGTGCGCAATCATTGCTTCTAGCTGGAGATGCCAGCTTCGCAGACGACGAGGCAACACGACGATCATCACAGGGATACATAATGTTCCTTTTTGGCGGCCCAATTCAATGGAAATCAGCACGCCAAGCGACGGTTACAACGTCAACTACCGAGGCTGAGCTTCTTTGCCTTGAGGAAACCGCAAAAGAGACCTTGGCTCTGAAGCGCCTTTTTATGGACATTGCCCTAGACTTAGGAGAAGTATGGTCAGTCAACTGCGATAATCAGCAGACGATTGGACTCGTCGTGGGGGAAGGGGAAAGAATAGCTACCCGGCTTCGTCATATCGATATACAGAACATGTGGCTCAGACAAGAGCACGCCAGAGGCAGCTTCGAGGTTGCTTATATGTCAACAGAAGACATGCCAGCAGATGGACTTACCAAAAACACTACTCACCTGCTCCTGTGGATGGGTTAAGGAGGCAGACCATCTAGTCTACTGCCGAAAGACCCTACTGAGGAGGCAACAGTGGCCCACCCTCTACCCCTACAGCCGCCAGGAGCCCGTAGGACCTATAGGGTCCCTCGATCGCTACTTCAAGGGGCTAATCACTGACTCTGAAGGCTTCCAGGCCTTCCTCTGCGTGACAGACTTCTTCCAGAAGATCTGCCCGCGGTACTAGAAGATAGGTCATAACCTATCCTCCAAACGACAGACTACCTCTAATAAGAAACCAGATGGTTATAACGGAACTAGGGCACCAGTGGGAACTAGGGATGGATAGAACACATAGTAGCTCACGAGCAAGATTTGGAGGACGTCAGGAGACGGCGTGTACTATATAGTATATAGCTAGAGCCTGCGACCCTTCACGCCACATACCCTTCGGGAGGTCTGCCGCAAGGGCGGCTGCGCCCTTGCCGCCATGGCGTTAAATAGAACAACAACAACAACTTACCAAAAACCTTTCACGAGCCAAGTTCGAACATTTCCGCACACTTCTCAACCTATACGATGCGCGAGAAATCATCATAAACAGCCAAAGTAGTCAGAAATAATCAATTTGGGCCACGCTCAGAAAAACTCAATGCCCGAAGGCAGACGACAGACGGAACCGAGAGTGCGGCCCGAAGGCCCAAACCAAACAAACAAAACTTTTCCTGGCCCGAAGGCCCAAAACTCCCAAAACAAACTTGCCCCGCAGAGCACACGCACACAGAAACACGACTCGGGCTTGCGCCCACTATTTGAACTCCTGGTCCAAGAAGAACGAAACCGCCGGAACCATGGCGTCGGCGGCGAGGAGGGAAGAAACGCGCGCCAGAAACCGCGCCTTGCGCGCCTCGAAGTCTTCGAAACCACGAGCAACCGGAGCAGCAGGGGGAGCCGGAGGCGGAACGACCGTCAGGTCAACGACCTGGGGGGTGGGAGCGGGCGGGGCGACAGGAGCCTGGTCGTAAACGACCACAACAGGCGCAACAGACAACACAGGCGCACTCGGGGGAGGGGCCGGGGGGCTCGCGGGGGGGAGGAACTTGTCCGCCCAGAAGCGGATGTGATCCTCGTACTCGCCCTGGTGGGCCATCATCCAGTTCACCGCATTGCGGATTTTGGAGATTTCCTTTCAAACCCGTGTCAGGAGTGCGTTCTCAGCAACAGCAAAGGACAATGTACTTACGAGAGCGGAAGCGCCACCCACGATGGCCTCTGTGAGAGCCCAGGCCATTGGCCGCATGACGACGGGCACGTCGACACAATGTTCGGCCGAACGGCCGTTGAAGCAGCGCGCACACCGGCCACGACTTCCCACGAGACAACGACCACCGTCATCACGGTCGTTAAACCGGAGGGCTGCCCGAAGGCAGGGCAGGCACTGGACATTCCGCTCCTCGGGAGCCTCGCCCAGGAGCTTCTTGGGGACTAAGCACACGTCAGACAAGTCCTGAATAGCGAAAAGAACCAACCACACTTACCGCGGGGCTTGCCTTGGCCTCTCGGCGTTCTCTTCTGCTTCTTGGCGCCCTTCTTCTTGGCGGAGCGGGCAGAGACCTTGCGCTTCTTGGAGTCTAAACAACGTCAGAAGCGAACTTCGAAGATAACGGCACACCACATACCCTTCTCGGAGAGCACATCGTCCTCATCATCGTCATCCTCATCATCCTCCTCCTCTTCAGACTCTTCCTCACTCTCGGACTCCGAGGGAGGGGGGTCGGAAAGCTCATCACCGGAGCCTCCAGAACCGCCCTCACCCTCATCATCGCCCACGTCCTCACCGCCGACGAGAGCCTCGAACTCCTTAGAGTTCTCGGCATCACCGCCAGCAGCCGCAACGTCCTCCTGGCCAGGGAGAGGGAGCTCGGGAACGGGGCCCGGATGCGCGGGAGGGAAGGCGGGCCGCGGGGGGGAGACCACCACGAGGGGCTCGTCAATAACGTCGTCTGTCCAAACTTTTAGCAAACCGCACAATCCGCACATGGGACACATCGTAAAAGTTGCGCGAAACTTACTGTTGCTACCGGCCATGTTGGATATTTGTATCTGGAATAAAATTAGCAAGCGATTCGACGGCGCTGGCGCGCGCGCGCAGCAGACGGGGGCACCTACGGCAACTGCGAGAGGTTGAAAGGGGAAAGAAAAACAACAGCCAGGCGGCGCCGCGAGAATTTGGATATACGCGAGGCGGCCAGGCAGCCTCGCCCTCACTGATTCACACACCGGAAGTAGCAGACTATGCGCTATTCCTGGTTGGGATCCCATTCACTTCAGACGAGGGAGCTATTCACAACAAACGCGCTCCATAAGACGCGTATCCCTTGCGTTTATTTTTCCTTTGTTTACATTCGACCAAATCGGGCCTTTGTGAGGGTATTCAGAGGTTCTATCCTGGGCACAATAGCTCCCTAGCGGGAGCAATTGGGGGGTGTGTCACGTAACAGGGATAGTAACCGCATCTCACGAAGCGCCCGTCACGTGCTGTATCACGTGTATATCACATACATCCTGTATATAGACCTTTCTCTTTTGTCTATTTCCACTTTGATAGGTTAAGCCACTTTACCACACTCCGTATGCCCATTGCTGTGTGCCATAACTCGTGACAAATTTGCAGAAGATTTGGCTTTGAAGACAACTGACGTGCAATTACCCAGGTTTTGAATGGCATGCCTAGTAAGCGTGAATGTGCATCTAAGTCAGACCCGCATCGGGAAATGCGAACGTGTTTAACACTAGGCTTGTTTCGGATCAGCGTCCACCCGGTTGTGTGGGGGGAAGGTGGACGAAGCTCATAAAAGGGGCGCCACGTCCACCTCAACGTCAGTTTGCTTCACGTCTCCGTCCACCCGCGAAATCGCTCACACGACTCGGCAACTCCATAGAGATCTGGGGCGCATGAGCTTCCCCAGATTGCCCAATAAGGTCGATGGGTTCACCAAACGAGGTTGAACAGACTAGCCACACTTGTGGGGTCTGTCCTCGATCTTTCACTCGCATAGAGAATTTTAAACGTCATCAAAAGACGCGTAGGTCATTCAAGAACGAGTATGAAGGAGCTAGTAACGCTTGGGTCCTGACTTCTGTGCTGCATAGACCAGGGCAACCTACCTCACCATTGTATCATTTGTCAAAAGAGGTTTTCACGCAGCGATTTTCTCAAGAAACACCAACGACTTCATCAGAAGCTTAATCAGGAAAATGCATCACGTGGCGAGCATAAGATCTCATCACCAAAAAAGGTGGATTACTCCTTCATCATGGAGGACCCCAATCCGCTTTCGTCCCTGTCGCGAGGTAAAGACAGAGAAACGGAAGCTGCAAACCCGCCACTTGTTGGCGACTTGCAACTGCAGTACTCTGATGTTGGCCGCGCCATGAATATCACGCGCAGCAATACGAGTTATGCCGCGTCTTCGGTTCTTTTACCATCTGGCGTCGCGTTCTCTAGGTCACAAGATACAATGGTAACAGCCAGTGAGCTTGGGGCGAATCCAGACTTCTCATATTTTGTTCAACCATGGCAAGATAGTCTGTGGGTTGACTCAAGCCTGTGGTTCGCGCCGGATTTCTACGACGCGGTAAGAGAGACATCACATATGAGTGATAATACCCCAAGACGATTCGATCTCACTATCTGCTCACTGGAACTGGCTGGGTCAATATCCAACTATGCCTCGCAGCAATGCATCGCAAATGGCTCCAAACGACGACCAACTCGCAACTTTAGTTCCAGCCGAGATATCGGATGGGCCAGAGAGTATACCGAGAGCCTCTTCTCCTCCGAACGTGCCCTCTAGAGAAGACGGCGTAGCGTTTGCGTGGAACCCGTCGTCGAAAAGTCTTTGCCAGACACATTCTATTTCTATTGACGAATCACACCCTCTTATGATTCTACATAATCCTCGATTCGACATACTAGAACCAACATGGACTCGCATTCAAGAATTCCTAAAGCTTGAGACCCCCGGCTCGGAGAATCTCATCCTGCCGTCCCTGGAAGTTGCGAATGTGTTTTTGGGGCTATTTTTTGAGGTTTTCTATGAACAAAGTCCTGTACTACACTTACCAACACTTACGGTTGATTGTTTACCGTCACCTTTACTCTCCGCCATGATCATTATCAGCGCCACATACAGCCGTATCCGGCACACAAGGCGCTTTTCCATACTCATGCTCGATAGAGCTCGTCAGAATCTTCAAGCACTGATCGAAGTCGACAAAAGCTTGACTAGACATCCTGAAACTATCTATGCATCTTCTCTCCTAGTGTATACTGGGCTATGGTGCGGAAACAAAGGGGCATTTGAGACTGCCGAAGCATTCCGAGGAAGTTTGGTGACATACTTCAGACGTCTGTTCCAACCGAAAACAAAAGTTGCAGATGCCGCAGGCAGTCGTGTTGAGGATCATTGGAGAGCGTGGGCAACATCTGAGTTCAAGCGCCGTTTACGTTGGTATGTATACATGATTGACTCACAGTTCCCCGCCATTTTGAACATCCGGAGTATGATGTCTCTTGCAGAGGTCGCTAGGTGGGACTGCCCGGGTGATGACGTGTCAGAGCCCTCCCGGATAGGGGCTAGTAAGAGGTAGTAAGGAGTCCAAGCAACAAAGGAGCAGCTCAGATATATATACAGCGCAGGGAGTACACGTCGAGGGAGGAGCAGATTTCAGTAATTCATCATTCTACCCCTAACTGCAGTTGGCCTCTGAGAGCTTCCACCCTGCGTCAACAATCCCAACTTGACATGACGCCTCCTGGTGTACAGCGAATGCTCTAGTCTGGGAAGCTCAAGTCAAATCCTTGGGGAGTTCATCGGCACCAGAGTTTGGCATTCTTTGCAAGGCTCTGGCAGACAAAAGAAGACCTCATTCCACCAATTTGACACGATCAGTCTCTACTATTACTGATAACATCAGTCCGTGGACACAGTTTCTGGTTCTAAGCTCTTTAGCTAGTCAGGCACTGGACTGGTCACACGATTGGTCAGTACAGGTCGGCAGTGACCTTGCTATGCTCCAAGATAAGGGCCGTGATTGCCATCGAGAAGGTCTCCGGATACGAGACAATATCATCGGTAAGTCATATTGTCTTCCAGTTCTCTCTGCCAAAGCTGACGCGTTCATCTCAGCATCTTTGGAATCATGGGAGTTCTACTACGGCACCAAGCACAGTGACAACGTGATCCCGGATGGGACGCAAAGTCCAGTGCTGTACTTCCAGAAAGCATCTCACATACTCCGTGGCCTAGTGAACATTCAACTGCATACGTGCGTTGTTGATTTGCAAGATGCTCTCGGAAAAGGCGGAGCAAGTGCTGTCGATGAAAGCCTGAGCCGGCTTCGAATCTATTTCACAAATGGGTACACCGGTTGTGTTGGCTCACATCGAGAGCCGCCATATGAGTCCCTAGACACCTTCGCCAAATCGGTCATGGAAACTGCATCTATCATGAGCAGCCCGACATTACAGTCTCCCACACCTTATAGTATCTTTGGAGTCTTCCTAAATCACGTCTTGCAATGGGCGTTTCTAAAAAGCAGCCCCGAAACGTTAAAGTCGCACCTTCGTAACCATCTCCAAGTGATAGCTTCCTCGTACCACGGACAGGGCGTGTCGGAGCTCACAGGAATACTTGATTTCGGGCTCTCTACAGCAGATCCGACAGAAATAAACAGGGACAGAAGCCACTTAGTTCTCATGCAAGCTGCGCAGAATTTGGCGCTACTTGGTACTTGGGGCGCATCGCTGAATCTGGCACTTCTGCTTCAATTGAGAGCGAAAACTTAGCTTTGACGCTGTTGATATTAGGGGTTGGGACTCATAGTGGTCTGCTCAGGTAATCACTACAAAAGACTTTTAGCCACAAAATGCGGACATGAAGGAAGCTTAATGGGCCCGGGACAATCATGTCCCGCTAACGGGGCTCTAAATCGCAAGTTCTCCTCCATGCCATAACATCTTGATAAGAATCAAAAAAGCTATCAAGTTCGGTAAAGTTCAAAAGTCTCAGTATGTAAGGACACCCATTCGCCCACCACGGTGGAACTGTGCAATGGGTATTGGGTCCCGCCGTGGTTGACTAGCTCACGGAAAAGCAATACGACCGAGGGATCCGAAGTTGCCTTAATAAAGTAGGTAGCAACTCCGCCTAACTGGGTCTTGTTAAGGTTGATTAGAGGCACGGAAGCGTAGAAGCTATGCATTCATTCCTTCCATTAGCAGGCTTTAGCAGCATCTGGGATAGGTACGGATAGATTCACAGTAAGGCGAACGGGGCACTAGCTTATCCGCGTTCGCTCGGTTCTGACCTTCTGATCAGCCATCAGTGCTTTGCTAGTTTGTAATAATTCGCAAGAATCCCCCGTGCTTACCGTACGTATCTAGTGATGGCAAGTTGAGGCCGAAGCCAGATGATGGGAAAGAGGGGAGGCAAATGGTATATCTACACGGAACTGTCGGCTGTATTGCCATCAAATTGGAGAGGATCAGCGCGCATTTAATTGTAAAGCAGAGTTATTGTGAGGAAGTGAAGGTGTTGGTATACACGTCAGCAGGGCAACCGTACGGTTGGAACGAAGTGTCAATAATGGTCTATTATTGCTACGTCTAGAGGTGGAAGGAGGAGATTATGGGCAGAGCCCACAATCTCCTAGAAGTGGTCTATAAGTGAAAAGGCCGTTTATAAATGCCTATACTGCCTTTTAAATCTATCATTTTTACCGACTACTTAGAGATCTAATATTAGTTAGTTAGTAGTTTTTTAATTATAAGTAGAAAAGATAAGTTAGTCTTTCTTAATAATTAAATATCCTCTAACTAACGTACTGTTACGGCCAGCTAGTCGTAGGGGTAGTTTGCAGAAGTTGAGGCTGCGGAACTGGTAACAGTAATCGTAGTCGGGGATAGCTTCAGGGAAGCTATGTCTGTCAATCGTAAGGGTAGGTAAGGCTTCGGTGATCAATCGTAGTCTTGTCAAGGTAGTAGCTGAAAGCGGATGTTAATCCTGATACGAAGTTAATTGCTGAAGAGCTATGGAAAGTCTGTCCTAGAGCCCAGCTCGAGTCCATCCTTATATACAAGTCCGATCCTAACTGAACAGTGCTGTACAGTCCACTTTGTCTGGATATGTTGGATATGCCGAATATCCAACATATCCTTGACTCGGTTGGATATGTCGAATATCCAACATATCCTTGACTCGGTTGGATATGTCGCATATCCAACATATCCTTGACTCGGTTGGATATGTCGCATATCCAACATATCCTTATCCCTTATCATATCTCTTATCATCACGTGACTTGTACCATAGTTCTTCCGTTCCTGGGGTTTCCCCAATGTTCCGTCCCGTCCTGCATATATGATGCGCCGTAGCCGCTAGGCGTCAGCGGGGCACGCCCTGGTCTTCATGTTGGGTCGTAACACGTACCTTAGTGTTACGACCCGACATGCACGACCAAGTCCAGGGCCTGCCCCGCAGGACCACGGCGACTAGGGCACACCATAAGTACACGAACTATGGGAACACATGCGTCACCCTACGGAACGGAAGAACTATGGAGCAAGTCACGTGATGATAAGATAAGGAAAGCCGTATGCCAAGAATACGGAGTCCGTCCTTTGAGGTACGGACCCCGTATATTCAGAATACGGAATCCGTATGGTAAACATACGGATAAAGGATATGTTCAGAATCAAGACTTGTATATAGGATGGACTCGAGCCGGACTCTAGGACAGACTTTCCATAGCTCTTCAGCAATTAACTTCGTATCAGGATTAACATCCGCTTTCAGCTACTACCTTGACAAGACTACGATTGATCACCGAAGCCTTACCCACCCTTACGATTGACAGACATAGTTTCCTTGAAACTATTCCACGACTACGATTACTGTTACCAGTTCCGCAGCCTCAACTTCTGCAAACTACCCCTACGACTAGCTGGCCGTAACACTTAGCTAGTTATAGTAAGACTTCCTCTTTATTTAAGACGTGTTTTCTTAGCCCTCCTGTATTAACTAAGTAGGTTATTTTCCTCCCGGAGGATCTAGACCTCCGACCTTAATAAGGTAATCTAGTATATAAATCCCCGCGCTCCCTTTAATAAATACTCTATAGCTTTAATAATTGAAGTTAGGTGTTACGAGCTGGACAAGGCAACCAACTGTGGCACAAAGCAAAAGCTTCGATAATGATGACTCCGGCATCATTGTCCCTTGTTCTGCATATATAGCTACGCGCCCACAGTGACAAGTTGCGGCGGGCGTAACATTAGGGAGCTATTTTAATGGCGAGAGATCCTCCTTTTAATAAGTTCGGATTAAGAAGAGGCCTCTATTAGTGTTACGAGCCGGACAAGGCAACCAACTGTGGCACAAAGCAAAAGCTTCGATAATGATGACTCCGGTCATCATTGTCCCTTGTTCTGCATATATAGCTACGCGCCCACAGTGACAAGTTGCGGCGGGCGTAACAATTAGGTTATTTAGTATTTAAGAAGTCTAAGTTATACGGGGGGTGTTATTAATAGGGACCTTGGGGGTATTAAAGTGTGTAATTTAATATTAAGCTTCGAAAGTACACTTTCGGCATTTAAAGGAATAAGCCCGGCCCCTCTAATGTTACGACCCAACATCAGACCAGGACGTGCCCCGCTGACGCCTAGCGGCTACGGCGCATCATATATGCAGGACGGGACGGAACATTGGGGAAACCCCAGGAACGGAAGAACTATGGTACAAGTCACGTGATGATAAGAGATATGATAAGGGATAAGGATATGTTGGATATAGGACATATCCAACCGAGTCAAGGATATGTTGGATATTCGGCATATCTAACATATCCAGACAAAGTGGACTGTTCAGCACTGTTCAGTTAGGATCGGACTTGTATATAAGGATGGACTCGAGCTGGGCTCTAGGACAGACTTTCCATAGCTTCTTCAGCAATTAACTTCGTATCAGGATTAACATCCGCTTTCAGCTACTACCTTGACAAGACTACGACTGATCACCGAAGCCTTACCCACCCTTACGATTGACAGACATAGTTTCCTTGAAACTATTCCACGACTACGATTACTGTTACCAGTTCCGCAGCCTCAACTTCTGCAAACTACCCCTACGACTAGCTGGCCGTAACACCCCAGCGTGGACTTCTCAGACACCAAACAACCCAACAGAGGCAAATTCTCAGTCAACTTTGATTAAAGATCGAATCTTAAATCATCCAAATAGCTCGCCAACACTAGCTAGTAACGCAGTTAACCATATCCTCAAAGGGACACTAGCTATGATGTATCGTAATGCTCTTCTAGAGGCTGAGAACAAAACCCTTCGGGAGGAGAATAATCTACTTAGCCGACGGCGGAGATCTAAGAAAACTCGTCTCAGGCAAGGAGGGAGCCTTACTATAGCTGAGGCAGATGACCTTCAATCACAGAGAGAGGCTACAGCTCAGATTGAGGAGGAAACGCGCCGGAGTAGTGGCCGTCGGCCGAGGACGGAAACAGGTCAACGGCGATGTGGCGTCTGCGGGAACACTGGACACAATGCGCGCACATGTCCATTTCAGAGAGAAATGTCTAGAGAAGAGGATTATGGGTAGTTTCAATTAATTAAACTTTGTTGATGTTGATCAAGATTTACATACGTGGAGTGGTTGCTGTCTAGCGATCCGCTCGCTTATCATGCACGTTATCTATTAGTGATCACTAAGTGGATACTAGTGAGCGCTCACTTTAGATAATCACCGTGATCACCTTATTGTATACTTACTTTCCTTATTATCACGTGACTTATACCATAGTTCTTCCGTTCCGTGAGGAGTCACCTGAGTTCCCGGGTTCTCTGCATATATCTAGTAGATAGCCGCCGCAGGCCTGCGGGGCGGGCCCCCTGTCCTTGTTATGCATGTTGGGTCGTAACATTATAGAGGAACGAGAGCTAAATGGAATACATAATACTTACCAATATAAGTATAAAATTCAACTTGGTGGAACTGTAATCGACCCTTGTGAGCATTGGTATTGGAATGGAGCTTCGAGGCGGAAGTGTATCTTACCCACAAGAATCGCCCCTACATGTACTACTGGAGCTTGGATTGATGCTACCAATAAGGTTCTGATAGTTAGGACTGGGTGATCAGGACCTTACTATTGTTGAAGAAACTCCTTCTTTTCATATTCAAACGTGCCCATTCCGGCCAGAAATTTTCTGACACCTTCGAAAACCAAGGTCTGAGCGCTCACGTTCGCAAGCTGCGTGAATCCATTGCCATCAAATTGTACGTTGACGGGCACACTTACGGCCAGTATATTCTTTCGCCTCCACAAGCAGACGTAGTATGCCTCCGACCTCGGGAAGTAGGTCAAGACTGATCATCCGGGACAGCTCCAAGAGAGGCACTACTTTCACATTCGGGCCCGGTGATTCGCATTATCCGCTTCATTGTTTAACGCATCTCGGTTTTAGTGATTTGCGTACATATGAAGAGCGACCACAGATTTGTAGGTGAAGGAGCGCGATTGGAAGTTCGTTCAGGCAAGATCTCAATCGCTACTAGCTCTGTCTTGACATTGCTTCATGCTATTGTGATGTTTTTGTGGGAGCAAAATAAGTACTGGCAGCTGGCACTTCCATATGTACTTAGGTGGTGGGGAGACGCGGGAGTAGTAGACCAGATTCCTCATTTCTCCGTTTACCCATGCCGCCGGATGATTCTCACAGGATATCCCCCCAATCAGCGTGCAGACCGCACAAAAGTAAACGTGTCCTCCTCTTACCAATCAAGTCATTGTGGCCCTATGGCACCTACATGATCAAACTTTCATCCCCACTGAAAGATTCCTAAGTCTGCTGTACCTTTGTGCCCCGAGTTCACAACACAATTTTGGCAAAGATCCTAAATACCAATCGATCCACCAAATGCCAGTGACGAAATACTGGGATTATCAAACATGGCCACACCAGGGATTGCCAACGCCGCGTGCCTTATAGGCCTGCTGTTGGCTTCTTCATGGCTAATCAGGACACACGCGAAACCTCCACCATCTGATACTCTGTGGCAAGTAACACCGCCACTGGACTACAACGACAAACTTTATGCGGGATGGAAGCAGATTTCGGTTGATGCAGAGATTCAAATCTACAACGGAGTGGCCGAGAATCGTACATACGCGCACCATCCAGAACTCTTTGCCATCGGTTCCGATGTTCTCCTCATTTACTCCTCCGCTCCAGTCGATGAGGATAGTATGGGCCAAGAAATATGGATCTCAACCTCGAGCGACAATGGATTAACGTGGAGCTCTGGGAGAAGCCTAATGCCGGCTGCTCTTCTACCAAACCAGACAGAAACGTATAACTGGACGTATTGGTGCGACCGCGGCATCGTTCAGCGTGCGTGGCAGGCGTTGACCTTCGTACACCTCGAGGGTGAACTTTACGCCGTCGGCCAATCAGGTAGTAGGTGGTGTCCAGGTCGATGGGCATCTGCAGGTCGAATCGCACGCAGACTTTCTCTCAGCGGAGAACCGCTTGCGGATCCCTGTTGGCTGGAAAAGAATGAGTTCACAAAATCTGAATTGTATGCGGAAACCGTTTACGGCACTGAGTTTGGCATGAAATACTGCGCCAGAGCCTGCGAAATCAACGCAGTTTTGAGAAAGCCGCATGAGGCACCGGCTTGGTCACCATGGCTCTACAACAACGCTTTATATGCCGCCGACGGATCGCATCAAATGGAAGAACAAACCTTTGCCGTTTGGCACAATGACAGTGATTCATCTACGGGGGGGTACTGGCAGCGGCATTGGCGCGATATCACTTCAGAGGCAAATAACACCCACTCAGTTTGGGTTGAGTACAACGCAGATTCAAAGGGGAACGGCTGGTATCCCAAAATCATGGAGTCGCACGGCAACGCGATTCACCAAACAAACATACCGGATGCAAAGACAAAACAATTTCTGGGGAAGCTCGACGATACCAGCGACAGATTTCTACTGTCGAATCCAAGATACAACGCCGCAGATCCTCAGCGGCAGCCACTGACCTTGGCAGTATCTCGTGGAGCGGATCAGACTTACAAGTCGATTGGTGTATTGAGAACGAATGCGACATTGCAGATTGTTCCGGATACGCGTGATGGAATCAAAAATCGGGCGTTTGGCTTCAGCTATCCTAGTGCAGTTCAGGTTGGAAGGAAATTGCTGATTGCATACAGCGAGAATAAGGAAAACATTTGGGTTAGTGTCGTTGACATATCTGCACTTCCATAGGAGGCCAAGAAGCCAGACTGATGAGCTGTATCTGACTATTGATCAATATCAATGCCTCCGCGCAGCACTTAATGAGGTTGAGTTGGTGGCAAGTAGCCAGCGAAAAGTTTATATAATCCAGCCCACATCAATGAGACTATACTACCTAGTTCCAGTGAATTAAAGGGAACCTACCTAGTTACATTCCTCCGCCACCATTTGATAAGCATCACACCAGTTTATCTTGATATGACGTCTGCATGAGATGTAGTGGGCTAAGCTATGACGTCAATGACTAGAGGTGTACGGATACTTACGGCGTGGGGTTGACCTGCAGTCGTACCTAGTGAGTAGGTAAGTGACGGAAACTATATGTACCCACAACTACCTAAATGCAGTAGAGGGATCTCTCTTTTGTATATGGCGCAACGGTACAATTCCGAATTCTGTCAGTAAGCTTCAATGACAAGAGTGACACGGCAGGGATCTGTCATCATCGGCCACGGACAGTCCCGGCTTTCCGCGGAATACAAATCCCGGCACGTTGGTAACTTTGACCCAACCTCCACGACAGTGAAGCAGCGCAGGCAAGTCCGGTAGAATCCCTACTCAGTCTGGACATACCACCGCGCCAGATTCTATAATCTTGAGTATATTCATTCTCAATTTAAACCAAGACATTATCAAAGGTCTTCATTATGCCCGGGAAACTTCTGTTCACGGGCGCGACAGGCTTCATGTGCGCTTCGTGCCCTTTTCCGACCCGAACTTGCCCTCCCAAGCTAACTGCTTTCTAGTTGTGGCACTGTTCTGACACAACTTTTGAACTCTTCTGACAAAGACATCAATGCACTGTCGATTACCGCTTTAGTTAGGAGGCAAGAACAAGCCGATATTCTCAGCCAAAAAGGGATCCATGCCACTATCTTCATGGGCCTAGATGACTCTCAATTTTTGACGAAAATTGCAAGCGAGCACGACTACGTTATCCACACACCGACCGCCTTCCATACAGGATCCGCTGTAGCCATCTTGGAAGGCTTAGCGGAACGGAAGAAGCATAAGGGAAGGGATGTTCACTTCATCCATGTAAGTTCTCGCAATATTCTGACTCCTGTTGCGATATCTTTAACACAACCATGGATGAGCCAGACATCGGGAACCTCCAATCTTGCAGAAAGAACAATCACACAGCGGTCAGGTGACATTCATGAATGGTCAGATAAGGAGAAGGTGTACGAACACGAGGAAAAGAAGGAATTACTGGAGGCTTACGGCCAGCGAACAACGGATATTGCTGTTGTTAGGACTGCAGAGAAGAACGGAGTCAAAGCATACATTATGATGCCTCCAACAGTCTACGGGCGGGGCACCGGCCTCTTCAATCAAGGATCAACGCAAATCCCAAGCATTATTCGTGGTGCGATCAAGACTGGCGTCCCAGAATACGTAGGCGAGGGCACAGCTTGTCTTGGGCATGTCCACGTTACGGATCTTGCACTACTTTACGAACTTGTACTGAGCAAGGTCCTCTCTGGAGAGAACATCCCTTCGGGTAGGAGAGGTATTTACTTCTCCAATACTGGCAGTCACAATTGGAGAGACCTTGCAGCCTTAGTTGGTAAGGCAGGTGCTTCGCTTGGTGCATTGGACTCAATAGAGCCTCGGTCGGTGAGCTTGGAAGAAGCTGGATCGAGATGGTTGAATGGGATACCCCAGATTGCGGAGATGAATTATGCTGCACAGTAAGTCTTCCAAGTGTACCGACCAAACATTTAGTTGTAGGGAAAGTATAGAGATTAATTTCTTCAGCTCTTCTACAAAGCCTGTTTTGGCACCGGAGCTCGGTTGGAAGCCCCTGAAGACAGAGGCCGATTGGGAAGACTCGTTTGTAGAGGCGTTTCGAATGGTTCTTGATGAACAGGCCCAGTAGTCATTGAACGTGTTTTTGACTCCTATTCAATCTACTTTCTAGGTCTATCAAAGCCCTGGGGATATTGCTTATTCACATCACATTCTACTGGGTACTTGTCCTCTCCCGACCTACTGTTGGTCTGATACCAATATATGGACGGATCCAATGGATATACAATCTATGTTGAGGCGGTGACACTATGTTATCTACAGAAAAGGTCTAGTAGACATACAAGTTCATGGCATCTGGGTTGGATGCCAAGATTTTCCTATTCTGCCTCTGCAGCGTAATCCTCATGATCCAGGCGCAAACAACAACACCGAGAGAAAAGCCAATACTAGCAAGCATTGCAGTTAAGTACCTTGGCTCATCTGAGTCTGGCCATAAGTACGGAGTGTAGACGCTAGCAAGGTTCCCAAACGTGTTGGCCATGGTGATTGCAACGGCCTTCTTCTCATCCGTCTGGCCTAAAGTTGCTGAGGTCCATCCGAGAATAATGTTATTCACCTAAAATTGCGTCAGCACAAAGTATATCCGGTGAGACGAAAATCGCTTTTCAGTTGAACTAACCCCATACGTTGCTCCAACGAAGATCATGATACCAACATATCTGACGGTGGTGTTCAGTGTGGCCACAGCCATGGCGAAGCCCGCACAAGCAATAAGCTTGCTCACTGTTGTGTGCCATGTCCGTTCATTAAAACGGCCCGAGGAGTGTGAGACAACAATGCTCATGATGCCAGCCAGGATGTACGGCGGGCACGTAAGAACTAATGTGATTGTGGTGTTGTAGTTGAGGGTTTCGACAACACTCTGCCTCCAGTCAGCTTATGGTACTGTGAAAGGTGAGCTATGGCTGCGAGTCTTTACCGGCAAGAAATTCTTGAAACCATTTGCTGAAAGGTGCAAGTTGTCCATAAGACAGAAGAGCCATGTCCTCCAATCGGTACAAGCCTCGCGCAATCCTTTCCAGACACTAGTGCCTCCCTCACGACGATCGGTTGTATCGTCAAATATGCGCTGGTGTGCCATTTGTCGTTGCTCAGGGCTGAGCCAGCGGGTTTGAAGCGGAGCATCGGGGAGGAAGTAGAATGCCGCCAACGCAACGCCAATAGAGACAGCACCCTGGATAATGAATAGCCTACTACTGTAAGTGTACGACCTCGGTGGGATGAGCTGGATTGTATCATACCATTGCCAACCTGCAAGGTCGTGCTTCCCATCAAGTCCAGCAAATATACCAGCCGCAATCAGACCAGAAAAAGCGCTGGCTAGCATGTTGCCAGTATAAAAGATAGCCATGCGCGTCGCGATCTCCTTACGGGTGTAGAACATGCTGAGCATATAAAGTGCGCCAGGGTAGAACTAGAAACAATTTAGCCCGTTCATGTCTTATATTACGGCGACAACAACAACTAGATACTTACAGGAGCCTCTGTGATAACGAGAAAAAATCGGCACACCAACATTGTCTTGTAGTCATGTGCGAGGTACGTAAGCAGACTGATTATCGACCAAATCAACATGAACTCTATTATGTGATCACCTTTTAGAACTACACGTATCCCGTTGGAGGCTTGGCATACATACCCGCCATGTACCAGGAGGGTCGCACTCGGTTCAAGATCATGTTTGAGGGGATCTGGCCACAAAGGTATCTACCGACATTGGGATTAGTAGCGCCTACCTAGGTATTACAGGGAGATACAGGGCTCACCCAACAAAAAGAATTGAAACACAAGTATTGTATTCAGTTCCCTTCAGCTTGAGGTCTTTGGAGAGCGAGTTAAGCTTGCCATTAATCATTGCGTTTCGGTCGAGGAAATTGAGGAAGTACATGATCCAGAGAATGGGCTTTGTTCAGGTAAGTAAGGGAAAGATTTGCAAACGGTCAACTGAAGCTCGTACCAGAATGTAGAAGTCAATCTTCTTCACGAGGGCTATCTCCTTGGGGTCGGTCTTGGTATGCGCCCCAAACTCGTCAACCTTGCCAATCTTGAGAATAGGCTTCTCGGCACCTCCATTGGAACCACCTGTTAAGACACGCTCCATTTCGCTGACATCTGCTTTGCCCTCTTCGGACTTCCTTGGCTAAGCCATTGTGAATTGATGACTAGGAAAGACGCTGGCTTTTGAACCTTCCGTGCGCTGTCTCGACACCGGTCAGATCGTGGGCTGATGCTGCTTTTGAACCGTGAGACTTCGGTATCAGAGTTACCACTCCCAAGCATCCTTTCGCCTGTGCAGAGCCTCTCTATATAAGGTAACAAGGGAAATTTAAACCATCACATCTCTCCGTTGGCTCCGCCTGAAGTCGCGATGAGATCTAACCCCCCAGGTGGAGCGTTCCCCGTGGGGGAGATGGGGCGCCGAGCTTTTCCGCTCGTGCGGGGTTCGGGGAATGGTGTACGGATCGGACCCAGCACTAGTACCGACATACGTGTGTTAACGGGGTCGAGGGTGTGACGGAAAACCACTTTTCAAACATACTGTCTTCGTTTATGAGGTGGTTGGGTAGCTTTTCCGTGTCCCTCGGTAGGACAACCTGATGAGGCTCACGCACGGAAAAGTGACACTTACGAGGAAGGTATTTGGAGCGCGTCAGCCCAAGAACCCTTCTGTTGGATCTCTGAGCAGTCGGCAGAAAAGATGGATTTGGAAAGCGGTATGGGCACTTACAAACGGCCCTTTCACTTATATACCACTTCTGGGAGATCGTGGGCAGAGCCCACGATCTCCTCCTTCCACCTCCAGACGCAGCAATAATAAACCATTATTAATACTTCGTTCTAACCGTATGGTTGCCCTACTAACGTATATACTAATACTAATTAGTAGTTGACTTCTACTACCTCAGATCAGCAAGGGCACACGGGCTTCAAAAGAGTCAGTTCCGATTCGGTAATTAACATACATGATAAGCGAGTGGGCCAGACAAGCGAGTAGGCCACCCAACCGCCATTGTGCCACCTACATCATCACAATACGCATTTCTCCATCGAAAACAATGACAGTACATAACAAAGATACCCAATTGCACTTAGCAGTTCAGGCTACCCAGAAAGACCGAAATCTCAGTATTCGGGCCGCGGCAAAGATCTATAATATCAGTCGCGTTACCTTAGGCCGCAGATTAAAGGGAACGTTATCACGACGTAATAGCACACCCAACTTACGGAATTTGACGCTACTAGAAGAGAAGAAGCTAATTAAGTACATCCTCGACCTAGACGCCAGATTTTTTCCTCCCCGTCTTCGCGGTATTGAAGAAATGGCGAATCGATTGCTCGCTAATCGTGATGCGCCCCCTATTAGGAAGCGATAGGCTTCGAACTTCATAAAGCGACAACCAGAGTTGCGAACGCATCGTTTTCACAAGTACGACTACAAGAGGGCCCAATGCGAAGATCAGGGCGCGATTAACGCGTAGTTCTTGCTTATGGCGAACACAATCGCGAAGTACGGCATCGTAGACTCAGACATCTACAACTTTAACGAGACTAGCTTTATAATAGGCCAGATCTCAACCGGCATGGTCGTGACCAGTGCCGAAAGGCGTTCGAACACGAGAATGATGCAGCCTAGCAATCGTGAATAGGTTACGGTCATTCAGGCCATCAGCCCGTCGGGCTACAGCGTTCCGCCGTACATCATCGTTACGGGCCAATATCACCTCTCCACCTAGTACACGGAATCCGGTCTCCCACACGACTAGGTCATCTTAACATCTAAAAATGGATAGACAATAAATAAAAGAGGTCTAGACTAGGCTCGGCACTTTAAACGGCATATAAGACGGCATATAAAGGGTTAATACCGCCTCCTCGTCGTCGACGGACACAAAAGTCACTACTCCGCGGATTTCGAAATCTTTTATAAAAAGAACAACATCGTTACCCTGTATATACCGGCTTATTCGTCTCATCTACTCCAGCCCTTAGATATTGGATATTTTAGGCCTCTAAAAACGGCGTACGGTCGAGAAATCGAGGACAAGATACGTCGGGGTAATACACATATTACTAAAGAGGACTTCTTCCCGGCGTTTTATAGGGCTTTTATATAAGCGATTACGGAGAAAAACATCCAGGGAGGATTCAGAGGGGCAGGAATTGTACCTTTGAGTATAGAGAGTATGCTCTTAAAGCTTGATATAAAGTTACGTACTCCGACGCCTCCAGGATCCCTCCCAATAATACCACCGGCATGGACTTCTCAGATACTAAACAACCCAACGGAAGCATCTTCTGTGGCAGGTGCAGGTGGGTCACGTGAGGCAGCTCCTTCACATCTCGGAGCTGCCCCACCTACACCTTGCCCAGATATCCAGCCCAGCCAGCGCTCAGCTTTTCCCATCATCATCATCAGATCCAATACAGTAGTATTGCCTCCACAGGTTATGAGAGCCCAGCGTTGACTCTTTTTCTTTTTACCCCATATGAATTGATCGCCCAGCTCTGCGTAGAGCCCGTTCAATTGAGCAGTTACTAATCTGTCGACCAGAGATCGCGGCGTCGCGACTGGCAACGGCAGAGGTACAGATTCCTCAAAAAAACAAAACAATAACAGACGCGACCGTACAGGCCGTCTACACCTATACACACACTATCACGAATCTTTCACCTCCATCGTCATCATGGCTGGCAACCGCGCCCGCTGGGAGGTGCCCGACCTCAAGGGAGAAGAAAATTGGGACCAATGGTACGCAGTACTGCATCTCACCCTTGAGACTCTCGATTACGAGAAGTACGTCGATGAAGACGTCCCTCAACCTCATCGCGATGATCCTATCACTCCAGCGCAGGCTGTGGCCTTCACTACTTGGAAGAGCCAGCGCATTGAAACGTACGGCATCATCATCGCATCAATCAGCAAAGTCCTCGATCGTCTCCTCGCTGATGGATACGACATCAAGACGGCTGACCGCAACCCCTTCCTTCTCATGAACAAATTGAAGACCATCATCCCCAAGATTTCAGAGGATGCCGTCGCCGAGCTCGTTCGAGAGCTCTGCAACC